TAAAAAAAAAAAAAAAAAAGGTGCCGGAACTCACGTCGCCGCTGGCAGTGAGCACTCAGCACGCGACCACACACACCAATCCCTAGCCGAGCAGCACCACTGCGGACACAAAAGCAGCCCGCAGGCACTATGTTAATGATGTTTGCTGCTGACCTGCTATGATTCAAAGTCACTTCGTAAAACCCATTGGAAAAAAAGGTGCCGAACGCCGTTCCAGTGCGTTCGATGACAAAAAAAGCCCTGGAAAAAACAATAAACCAAGCGGACCATCCTACCCAGGAAGAAGCATTATGTCCCCCAGCAGAATCACTGCAGGCCGTGACACCAAGAACCTTTTCCAGAGAACTGGAAAAATCATGCCATTAAATTTATATCCCGCCTTGCTTCCTCTTCCAAGGAACCCCAAGTAGCTTTCACAATCCTCCTCCTCACCTTTGCCTCCTCACAACAACCCTGTGAAGTCAGTCAGGCTGAGAGTCAGTGATGGGCCCAAAGTTGCCGCATGAGCTTCATAGCCTAGTGTGGACTGAAACCCAGATCACACTGGCCCCAGAGCACCATCTCACCACTGCACCTCTGCAGCAAAAGTCTCTGGGTAGGAAGAGGTTAACAGAGTGGCCAGGCCATTGAAGAAATCCTCCTGCTATTTACAGCTGGAGCTTATCAGGGAAGAAAGAGGAATTCCCCCAGGCCTTGTGTTAATGCCCTGACCTTTTGAAGTGCAAACTGCTGGCAGCCCCAAGAGGCATCACCCCACTGAAGGGCAGGGGAGTTAAAACACCAAACCCTTTGATGGATATTTTGTGTCCCTAGATTGGGCCCCTAGGCACTTTTCCCTGACCAACAACCAGGACTGCTGTTGCACAAGTACTGTTACAGGAGGGTTAGATTTGTTCATTCCTCAGAGGTGGTACACCAAGGAGTCCATTTGCCGGAGGCTTGGAGTCCTGAGCAGACAGCTGTGTCTTTGCCCTCTGTTTCTTTGTTTATGTATTTATTCAAAGCTTTTCTATCCCATCCTATTACAGAAAGTTTCAGGACGGTCCTGCAGTAGAAAGCACAGCATCACATATTCTGTAAAACCCCAATTAAAATAGCAATGGAACCTTAAAATGTTGTGGAAATAAAAAGGTTTTAGCCTGGCGCCAAAAAGAATAAAGTGTTGGTGCCAGGCACACCTCTCTGGGGAGCATGTTCCATAACCGGGGCGCCACCACAGAGAAGGCCCTTCTGGGGGGTAGCCACTCTCCTAATCTCCTTCCAAGAGGGCTCCCAAAGAAGGACCTCAGAGCCACATCTTAGAGAGCAGGCAGGCACATAGGGAAGGAGATGCCCCTTCAGATATCTGTTGCCCTGTTGTGTTCCCTGTGCCCTTCTTTCTTTCTGTATCCTGGTCCTCTTCCCATTTCTTAAATAAATGTATATTCCTGCTTGTGTGAAGTTTGGGCAGGCTGTGATGCAAACTCTAGACCACAGGGCAGAGGCTATGAGTCGGGCAGAGACTAGCCCAAGAACAGCGGGCTGAGGACATTTTCCAGCCCTCCATTTCAACTACACTTATGACAATAACCCATGAGGATGAATAGTATGCTGATGCATAGAAAATAGTCTATTTTGGGGTGAAATGTATGAAAAATATACTTTTAAAATTAAGCAACAAGGCAACATTGATCCTTTTGTCTTCTTCCCAGTGTCATTTGTTAACTCTTTCTTTCTGTTCTGTTTTTTAATAAAATAAAAAGACAGAAAGTAAAACAATTCCATGCTGTACAACAGACGTAGGTGGACTTCATGTTTCTGGGAATCTATTTTGTTTGTTTACCTTGAAAATCAAGTTCCCAGATTGCATTGTCTGAAGCTGCTCTTCTTGTTTCTGGGATCACAAGTTGTAGACTGGGATAAATGGAGGAGTCTCAAGATTCAGCAGTAAGCAGCAGTTTGTTCGTTGAGCTCCTTGCCCCCCTTGCCACTAAGGCAAGGTGCAGATCGGGATCCAGGAGTCTTCAGGCAAGTGTCTATGGTTAGCCTGCAGTGGGAGGGACAGATCTAAGGTACGGTATGAGCTCTCAAACCTTCACTGCAATCAGGTTTTGTTAGTGGCACCTGGAATGGTCCTTTCCACCATAGTTCCAGGCATGTCTCCCTCTGGTGGCTCTTGCCCCCTATATCCAATACCCACTTGCGATTCATTTATTTATTCAATTTCTCATGCACTTGTAATTAATCTGCAGCAGCCACAGCTTCTTTGGAATAGGCAGGCTGAAGAGTATTTTTGCATACCCTACTAATGACTCTTGTAGTTTTGTGAAGTTTCACGGGGCAGTAGGCATCAGACCTGGATAAGTCCTACCCATACCAATTTCAAAGGGAATTTACTTTGTTTTGGCTTAGAGGGTGACTTGCATCTGCATAACCACTAGGGGAAGAATCTCTGGCCTTTGAAGCCAGTCTCAACAAAGGCTTTGCCTAGGAAGTTTAATATCGTACTTTTTGTGCTGCATCTTGCCCCTAGTTTGGAGATGCTGAGGCATGTGAAAGTGCTGTGGAACCCTTACAAGCCATGTACACCTGCTTTAAGGCTTTCCCCGTGAAAAGGGAGTTGTGGTCTGGGTCCAGGGAGTGAGATCCCAAATTCATGATACCTCCTGTGGACCATAAAACATGAATCCCGCCCGCCCAGGTCACCCCTGGCCAAGTGTGGGTATTGTCTTAGCGGGGCCATGGTGGAAGATGCTTCTTGTCAACGCTGCACTGAAGAGGCTTTTCCCAGAAATGGGCAGTGGGAGGTTCTCATTCACAGCAATCCTTTTGCTTTTGTCCTCAGCAGAGGATACTTTTAGCAGGGGTGCTACTGAGAAGATGCTACCAGATTTTTACTACCCAATGATTAAAGTACTGCTTGTTTGTTTCAACTTAAGTTTCCCCTTCTGGGTTGAAAAGGGTGTAATACGGAGCTGCTATGCCTAACGCTGCACCTTGCACAAATGGACCAGGAGGTGTGGATGGCAGTGATTCTGGGTCCCTCGGGTCAAGGCGGCCTTCGGCTTTGTTGGCTGGGACTAGAATGGCCGGCAGCAGGAGCAGAGCAGGCAGCACAACCGATTTGCACTTAATTTATAGCTTATGACTTGCAGTTTAGGCCAACTTTTATCAGCTTCACTTTCCCACTTTCTAAGATTAGGTGAAGGTGATTGAGGACCTCATGGTCAAAAGATCTTTCCTGAGGGGACCCGAGATTGGAAGAATTGGAAGTGTATTTATTTCAGTTCTCAATAAATCTGGCTCACCATGGTCCATAAACAGAGGCAATAAAGCCAGCTGGGCTGCCCTGCAATGGGGAAAGATTCTTAGAAGCTCTTGGCAGCATCCTGATCGGAACAGTAGAATATTTGCAGAAAATAAACTTTTGCCTCCATTGTAAACATCCACTCATGCTCCAAGAAGGGGCTGGGGTTGTGAGAAAAAAGACTGATGACAGAGTTAAGTAAAATTTTATTTTTATTTTATTTTTATAACCACAGGTTACAAGAAAAACACAATCCAAACATACAAACACAAAGACAAATAAGAGCAAATTGTGGGTACAAGCCCAAAGCAGTTGCAAACCCAACACACGGATAAAATACTAAAATCAGTCTAAAATACAGACTGGCAGAAGGCTAATGGAATGGATAAAATGTTATTTCTAATGTTAAAAGATAACAGCAAAAATGGTCACTTGGTAACTAACATGAAGGGAAACTTCTGCCAGTAAAAAGTTGATATATTCCACTTTTGAACTTTAAAAAATATTGATAATCTGATCTAACAACTTCCTCTCTGTAAAAGCATAATAAAGTCATTGGAGAGAATTATGCATGAACCTGTTCCAGGCCAGAGGTGCAGTTCCACAGGGATTTTAGACTATCTCACCTCAAGATTCGCTGAAGGCATGGTTTGAATATGTAAATTGGTAAATGCCTTCCTTAATGGAATACTGCTAAAAGTTTTAAGTACTGTGAATTTTTTTTTTAATTAAGTACTGTGATTTTTTTTTCAAATGGGTACTGGTACCACAAAAAGAATTTGGAAAGTTGGATCGGAGTAGTGTCTTGATTGACATCTCGCATAACAAGCTGGGCTTGAATTCTGTTCAAATCCCAATATTTTACTTCACTTAAAGGAGGGAGAGAGTTCTTTTCTAAGATACAGGCAGCATATTTGCTTTCTGCACAATGGTGCTAATAACTAGTTTTAACCAGGTGGCCTTCTGGTTAAACTGTCAAGTTTCTTAATATATTTAAACAATATCAGATGGGCCCTTACAATAGCTGAGAATAAACCTGTCTCATTCTTTAGGTGGGCAGCAGACGTGACCTGAGGAAGACCTGAAATTTTTCTTAGACTTTATTATAGGCTACTTCCAACTGCACAAGCACCGTCTCATTCCATTCCCAGACGTCAGCCCCATGTAGAAGTTGTGTAATGACATCTCTTTAAGAGATCTATTTCTGTGGAAAGAAGCATATATAAGCCAAATAGTAGGGAGTGGTAGGAACAGAGGTAGTAATGTGTGGTTTTAACTTGTTTGGCCTTGCATATTGATCTGCATTTGGAGTGGAGGTTTCTTTGGGGACAACAAAATGAAAGCTCTCCAAAGGGTCCTATCCATGACAGCCCAGCTCAGCTCTTACAAATTCAAGCCCATGGCTTTCCTAATGGAGTCAGTTCATCTCAGAATTGGTCTTCCTTTTCTTCTTCTGCCTTCAACTTGCCCTAACATGACTGTCTTTTCCAGGGAGCTTTGCCTTCTCATGATAGGCCCAAGTCTCAGTTCTGTCATTTTTACCTCTAAAGAGAGCCCTGGTTATTCATCTGTTGTTCCAGGATATTCACAAAGCTCTCCTCCAGCATCATGTTTCGAATGCATCCATTTTCTTCCTGTCAGCTTTCTTCACTGTGCAGCTTTCACATCCATACACAGGAATCAGGAATACAATAGTGTGGCCTTTTTAAGCTTAGGGCAAGGTGATTGAGGACCTCATGGTCAAAAGATCTTTCCTGAGGGGACCTGAGATTGGAAGAATTGGAAGTGTATTTATTCCAGTTCTCAATAAATCTGGCTCACCATGGTCCATAAACAGAGGCAATAAAGCCAGCTGGGCTGCCCTGCAACGGGGAAAGATTCTTAGAAGCTCTCTGCAACATCCTGATCGGAACAGTAGAATATTTGCAGAAAATAAACTTTTGCTTCCATTGCACCTGCATCCCAGAACCTGCTCGTTCCCAGGATTTCCTATCATTATTTTGAATTACGCTGAGGCTCAGCAGTTTCCACTGATTTTTCAAGTAAGATAGTTTAGCAGTTTTTTTTAACCTTCAAAAGCAACTTATAATGGGAAGAAAACTGAATCAGGATTTGAATTAAGGAAGTAAATCTGTCTTTCCTGACTTTATTCTAGATTTTTCTTGGGACATGATGCCTAACTGCATCTTTCTTCCTAATCAAACCAGCCCTTCTTTACATATCCTTTCTGAGCATGACCTAACATAGTCTGATGAAAATTCAACAAGGAAATATTTTTTTAAAAAATATTACACAGAAGTCTGAATTTGGAGAAATGCCCTTGATTAAGCATGTTCTGGAAATGTAGCAAAATTGTAACCTTATCTTTAAGATTAAGACTGCATTTAAGCTGTCATTTAATAAATGCAAGGCTTCCAGGATTACTGCATAGGGAGATCCAGATGAAGTAAGAACAGAAAAAAATCACAAACAGTTCTCAAATCTATTTTGTGCATCAAAAGCTGAGACACACAGAAAAAAGGACACTGACAAAGAAAAGTTTTGATAACCCTGGCCCCTTTTCAGTTTTAAAGGTATAGTAACTATAGAGAAGTGGACCAGCTCTCGCTGTTTTCCGATAGATTTATTTGATTTTACCTTCAAGCCAAGTTATACCTGGTGATACCTTTAGAAGGGAAAGATGTTAGAGGGGGTTCAACTAGACAAGGTGAAATTAGTGCTTCTTCCACTTCTCTAGCCTATTAGTGATCTCAGCTTGTTCATTTCTTAGCAAGGTTCCAGATCTGCCAAGCTTTTCTCCAATGAAGCATTCAGATAATTCCTTACATTGCTCTTTTCTAAGCATTGATGAGGCAATAGACTTACTAATGCCAGCCACTGGACTTACGCATGAAAGTTTATTTTCAGTCAAGAAGAAACACCACATGCGTGGCAAGAAAAAGTGGCCAGCAAATCATATCACAGAAAAGTCAAATGCAGTAGTTTAGTATGCTTCCAGAAAAGATTTCATTTTTAGTAGCATACTCAAAAAATGGACTGTTTAGACTAGAGCTTAGTAAAACTCTCCTAACAGCATGTGAAGAAGGTAACCAAATAACTGATGTTAGATTAACAGACTGAGATCAGATTCGCAAGAGCTGACATCAGAAGCAAAGGATAGCTCTGTGCAGGCACCAAAGCTGTCTAATAGCATTATCCAGGCAAACAAGTAGCATGACCTAGTTTAACTGTAAAGTTTGATAGCAGTTTCAAACAGGAGGCTGGCCAGGTGCCAAGTTGGTGAGGGCTGCTTTGCTGGCTTATTAGAGCCAACTGCCTCCTTAAAGTAAAATACTGGAGATTTTGTGACGAAGTCTGTCCTTGCGGAATACTTCCGAGTAAATTTTTCCAAGAAAAGCAGTTCCAGTTTATCAGACACAGAAGCGATCTGTTCATAGATCCCTATCACTGCTTTTGCTGTCAGTAAACCTTGTTTTGAAATAATATCAGTAAGAAAGGAGAGCTGCTACATTGCTCCCTCAACTACTTCCAGAAGTTTCTCTCCTTTATTCTTCAAAGATTCTTAATCAAGCACGAATATTTCTCCCAAATGAGGTGAGTTTTCAGCTGGGAAAGCTAGAATCTCTGGGGTGGAGTCACCTATCTCCAGAAAGGTCTATCTGTTATGGGTAAGTGCAGGAGCCAAAGCAAGGTTCCTTAAAGCTTTCTTACCAGGACCGAACTCCTCTCTCTTAAGCTGCTCAGCAGATTTTGTCATCACTGGGAATCCAGAGCTAAGACAGAAACATTTCTTGTTGTTTTCCATATTATGGCTGGTATATGGAGAAGGAGCACTCACCATATCACGTTTCCAGACACTTCAGGCTTTGGGCTCCTCTTTGGGCTCCTCATATCTGGTACAGCAAGATATGAGCTTCCCTCATTCTCAAGTGAGGAATTATGCACAATCTACTCAGTGACTTAGACAAGCAGGAGAGTGAGCCATTCTCACACCACTAGAACATGCAGCGCACCTGCACTTGAGATCCCTACAGGCCTCATAGCAGGTGCAGGGCATCCTGACTTGGTTTGAGTTCTAGCATCTTCTAAGAGACCATTCAAGAAACATCCAGACAACCCCATCAACACTTTTGGACATGGCTGGATTGGCACAAACATCTTGCTAGATTGTGATCTTCAGGTGGGGACTGACAAAGAACCCAGCAAAGGGGACCGGGCAAGGGAGAACATTTTAAAAGTTTTTTCCCCCTTCCATTCACTATCCTACTCCTCTAGGGGTGTTCTCAGTCACCCAAGATCCTGCCAACTACACCAACCAACAAAGAGCAAAACTAAACCTGGCAACAATGTCTACAAAAAAGTAAAGGCCCATTGACCAGAGACAGAAAAAGGCAATACCAGTTGGAGAGTAAGGGTCCAAGGTAAGAAGATTCCTCTGCCTTACATACTTTGCACATAATATTTATCTGCCTTGGTTGGTCATGTGCAGACAGACATGCCTAGCAGCTACTCAAACTCCTAACTGGTAAGATGAGGACCAGTTGCAACCAGTTTGGCCACATTTCCTTGTATAAACATTCTCTGTATAACTTCAGAAGAGATAGATTTTGATCTCTCTCCCTCTCTCTCCTTTGCCTACAACATCCATGTTTACCTTCCCTTCTTCTCATCATCCCGGAAGAGACTGGTTTTGGCTAATCATATCTTGATTTTGTGATAAAGCAGATTCAAACAGTCAGGAACATAATGGAGTTCAGAACTGTTAAAATAAGCATGTGAGGTGCCTCATTTGGGAATGCCCACATGTCAAAATCTCCTTGCAACATGGAAAACACTCTATACAAAACCTTTCCTTTGATCTGCTACATTTACACCTAAACTTTCGATTGTGCCTTTTGGTCCCCACATCAGGGCCTAATGTACATGGGGCAATGTGGACGGAGTCCATCCCTTCTCGGTTGGCATGTTTAGTTTGGGCCTGCCATTACACTTTCATTCTCCCTCTCCTATGATGAGCCACCTTCCCACTGACACCTAAGTATTTTTTACTTGGCAACGAAATTTGTTGATTACCTTGGGGCTTACTTCCAAAGCAGCATGCTTAGAAATGCAGTCCGGGAATGTCCTTACTAGCACTTAATGCAGAACGGTGTCATTTTGCAATAGGTATTTAGGGAAGCAGGGAAAATGCTCTGCATATTTTCAGGAGCAACACTTGTCCTCCATTTCCCTCATTCTGCTCGTATTCGAGGGCTGAGACCCGGCCGCGTTTCGGGCTCCGATGTCCGCTTTCCTCGAAACGGTTCGGCGGGGCTTCTCTCAGGTAACGTGCCCGGGGTGACAGCTAATTCCCGCCACAAAGCAAGGCCGGCTGGGTCGACGGCGCCCCCGTCCTTTCCTCTTTGGACGGCCAGCACAGCACCAGACCGCCCCTCCGGGCTCCTCCCGACCTCGCTCCTGCACTCTGGCCGGGACCCCTGGCCGCGGGAGGGCCGGTTCCAGGCTGCGGCGGTCCGCGCGTCGCCCGGGCTCGCTCGCAGGGCTGGAAGCGGCGCCCTCTCCCTCCCCGCCCCGCCCCGCCCCGCCCCGCCCGCCCGCCCGCCTGCCCGCCCGCGATCCTGAGCGGCCCTTCAGGCCCGCGCCTCGAGGGGCGGGCAGCGGCCCGCGCTCGCCTCCCGGCGACGCGGGAGCGCCGGCTACGCACCTCGAGCAGCCCCGCCAGCCCGGGCACGGCGCGCCGCCTCGGCTCCTTTTGTTCCTCGGCCTCTTCCCCACCCGGATCTGCTCCTCGGATTCGTCCGCCGGGCTGGCCACGCGCCGCCGCCCCCGGAGCAGATCCAGCCCCTTCCTGTGCCGCTTCCATTTGCGGGCCGGGCTGCAACCGCCTCCGCTCTGGCCGCCGCGTCGCTGCCGCCGGTGCCCCGGTGCCTGGCCGCGGGCGGGCGGGCGCGCTTGCGTGCACAGGCGGCCCGCGGGGCGGGCGGGCTGGGGCGGTCGCCCCGGGGCGGGGGTCCGGCAGCCCGGCGAGGCTCAGCCATGACGGCTCGGGCGCTGGCAGGCAGCCCCAGCGCGTGAGGGACTGCGCGGCTGGCAGCCGCTGAAGCGGGGCTGCCGCTGCCGCTTCCCGCTGCTCGGAGGACGCTGCATGCATGGCAGCGGCGCGGAGATCCGCGGAAACGGGCGGGGCGAGGCGGAAGGCTGCGACTCGTCGCGCCTGCCCGGCTTTGCGCTGGAAGGACTATCACGTTTGTCTTGACTTCTGGGCTCTGTGCTGCAAGTGACCCGCGCGGGTCTTCGCCGTTCCCATGAACACGCCAGAGGAGGATCGTTGTACAGGAGGATTCTGTGCAGGATTTAACCTAGTTTAACAGTGCAGGTCCCTGCATGTTGACCTGGAACTGAGTCCTTCTGTGTTTAAGAGGGCTGGCTTCCGCTAGGTGTACGATTGTGGCCTGAAAGTGCAATTCTGTACTGTACCTCCGATTGGGTTCAATGAGAATCCGAGGTAAGTATGAAAAAGTAACGTCTCATGTGGCCCCTTTTAAGACGTATAAACTGTAGGCATTGGGGACTTTCCATAGAGCCCTGGAATCTCAGCCTCTCTTCTATAGTTTTCTCTTAATAAGTTTCTGGGCAACTTACAGCCTTGATCTTGTTATGGATTTGCCACTTCTGGGAGAGCCGACAGCCCTTCCAAAAAGGGAGGGAGTTTGATAGGAGGGTTTTAGGCACTTGTTCCGGAGAGGCTGCCCAGCCTTGCTGCCGTTTCCATTCCATCCCCTGCACTGTGACTCCATAAATTTCCCTTTTGCATAAAAAGGGTAAGCCAAAGTGAAACATGGCTGCACACAAGACATCAGGTGCAAGCAGCCTGGTGCCTTTCAGATGTTTTGAACTGCAACTTCCATAATTCCTTACCATGGACTAGACTCACTGGACCTGATGGGAGTTTTAGTTCACACATCCTTAGGGCATCTCATCTGCATGCTCGATGGGAGACTGAACTCTGCCCTGAGGGGTTTTCAAAGCAGTTTACCAAAATTATAGTGACAATGTTGATGATCTTTGCAGTAATGAAATCGCATTAAAGAATGGGTAGCAGAAATGCCTTCCATGTGGTGTTATGAGGAATATGAACATAAAAATGTAAGACAAGCCATACTGGATCAGGCCAAAGGCCCATCCAGTCCAGCCCTCCACACACAAGCTGGCAGACCAGTTGCCTGCAGTATCCCTCAAGCAGGATGGGAGCTAGACCTTCTCCTGCCCAAGCAGAACAGCAGCTGGAGTGTGCAGGCCTGCCGGGTCTGGTGAAGGAGGCAGCACCTGGCCAGCGAGGCCAGTAGCCACTGATCACCTCCTCTGTCCAGTCCCCTTTTAAACCCTTGCAAAGTGTTGGCCATCACCACTGCCTGTGTGTAACTATCTGGTGTGTGGAGAAAGTGCATGTAACGGATGCACCTGCTTCCTCAGCCTTTGACCATAGGGGTCCTTTGGTTGCCCTCTGCCTCGGGCACTGCACCTCCTGTGCCGCCGTGGCAGCTGGAAGGCGGCCGGCCCAGGATGGAGGAGGCAGGCTGCCTTGGCACGCTGCAGGGGCGCCCCAGGCGGCAGCGCCTTCTGAAGGGCTGTGGCAGGGCTGTTTCTAGGGGAGGCAAAATGGGAGATCAGCTAAGGCCCCAGGAGCTTTAGGGTGCCAAATGACCCAAAGGGCGGAAGCAGCACCAGCGGCCAGGCAAGGCTTGGCAAACAGGAAAGGAAAGTGTTGCACTGGCCAACCTGGGTTGTCGCTGTCTACCATTCACAGTATGAGACGGCAGGCTAACTGGTCCTCTCGCAAACCTTGCAGGAGGCAGCCAGTGATGAGACAGGAGTTGGCTAGAGGCTGCCTGGGCCGCATTCATGCTGTTCACATCAATAGTGATGGCATGGGGGAGGGTGCCAAAATGCCTTGCAGCCGTCTGGACAAGGGAGTGGGACCGAACCTCAGCCAGGCCTTGGCGTCAGCCACTGGCGAAGGGAGATCTTCTCTTGCTGGAGGACACAAGGCTGAGGTCGCAGCAGGAACTCCTTGCAGGTCCTGACTGGATTGTTGGCGTCTTTCTCAGCAGGGTGTCTTTGAGATGATGGAAGTTGGGCGCCAGGGCCGCCAGCGGGCCTCCGAAACAATCCGCAAGCAGAAGCGTAAGGAGCTAGATGCCCGGCGCAGCAAGTGCCGCATCCGTATTGGCACCCACCTGGAGCAGTGGTGTCGGCTTAAGGAGCAGCTGGGCTTTTCTTTGCACTCCCAACTTGCCAAATACCTCCTTGACAGGTGAGGCTCTGTGCTTGCGGATAATTGCTGACTTTTGCTAGCTTTGTCTAAAGGCAAGCTAAGGATCAAATATTAGGGGTGTGTGCATGCTTAATTTTTGATTGATATGCATTTCAGCAATTTGCTGCCTGCGGGTGAGTAATGGCCCTTTTTCCACTTCTGGAAGATGTGGCAGCCTTGCAAAAGAAGGGTAGGCAGATGTAAGGGAGATTGGTATGTATGTCTTTGACAAAGATTACCAAGAAGTTCAGCCTCGCTGCCATTTGCACAGGGACACTTCCAGGTGCTGTTGGACTCCAACTTCAGTAGTGTATATTATCATGACAATATAGACAAAAAAGGTGTAATGGATACTACTGTCTCTCCACCTTAGTACCCCCTTCCTACTACAGTATAGAGATAATAGGGACCTAATTTACATGGTGGCTACAGCAGCCACTGAAGCCTGATTTAAATGTGTATGTGTGTTTCAATTTTTACAGTTTATTAAATTTCCAAATACAAAGATTAACATATAAGATAAGAACTCACATGGGTTTTGAATCTATTTATTAACAAAGGATCTTAATAAGCAATTATGTTTTTTTTCCCTTTACAGGCAAAAATATGGGTGGAATCGACTGGCTGCTCCAATTTTTCATTTTCTAATTATTCTTTATCTTAGCAAATTATATTTAGGCTCTTTCCAATATTAATAGTTTATTTACAGGATTTCTATACCAGTTCACATCTAAGCAGATTCCCGTAGATGATAAAAGATAAAAAGAATAAAATGCCATATTAAAAGCTTTAAGAAGGAGAATGCCGATAGCAGCTATTGCTGGTCACTTAAGAAGACTTCTCGAGATAGAGAAGTCTTCAGCAAGCACAAAATCCCACACAGTTGATACCTGCCTGGCCTCTAGAAGCCGGGAGTGCCCCAGAAAGGGGGCCACTGCACCAGAGGCTGTTCTCCGGGCGGGACTCCAGTGGGGCCCTCATTCCATGCAGACCCACCAGGAGCATCTGATCTGATGACCTCAGTGACCAGGCAGGCTGATAAAGCGTAGGACACTCTTTCAGGCATCCTGGCCCCAAACTGTTGATGGACTTAGACAGTAGAAGCAAAAGGTTAAATTTGAGTAATGCGGGGAAGGCTTTGATAGATGTTGCTGCATATGCTCCGGGTCTGTACGTGAAATAAAAGGCCTGATTTAGACAGGCCTGTGTAAGCAGAGTCCACAGCGATGCAAGCATCCATCTGCACACATGTAGATCTAAAGCAGGATGGACAAGCATCCAGGCCTTCCCACCTGCCTTCTGGACCATCCCATGCCGGGCACCGAGGTCTGAAGAGGGCCTTGCAAGTGCATTCATAAGACAGATGCCTTGCACTGAGCCAGATGCTTTGTCCATCTAGCCCAATACTGTCAACGTTGACTGGCAGCAGCAGCCCCCAGGGCTTCAGGCAGATCCCAGCTCCTCCACCTGCCCCCCCTCCACTTCAGCCCTGCGCTTGTGCAGCTGAGCACCTGCATGGTCCTCTTCTTGCGTTCAGACTGAGTTGCTGCTGTGCTCACGTGCGGCATTCGTGCATCGGGGTGTCATGACATGCAAATTCAGCACGTGTAGATGCCTGCAAAACTACACAGGGAAGATGTTTTGCACCCCAGCACTGCATTTCAAACTAGGCCTGGGATAAAGTACCTAAAGCTTTCTGAATGCTCTAAAGTGCTGCTGTTCTATCAGCAGCAGCAGCAGCAGCACCAGCAGCACCGTGTTTGCTATTAATAATGGTCACATTAATTTCATTACAGGCCAAGTGCAGCTCAGTGTCTTTTCTTCACTCACACTGCCTTCTCTGTTTCTCGTGCAGGTACAGTTCCCCTAGCTCAGTGCTGAAAACAGGTAAGAGTTCCTGCAGGTCCCCTGTTGATCACAGGAGGCCTTTTCATGGTGTTTAATCTAGCAGGTTTCAGTGGGTCGGTTTGTTTTTTTACCAGATTGCCTACTTGCCCAACAGATAAATATTTCATGTGGTAGCTTGAGAGTTGCTACTCACTTGAAGCCACTGGACAAGGGGCTGATTGTAAGATGGGCCACAGCCTGTGCCATCTCAAAAGCTCAGACAAGCTGTGCAAATATTTACAATGAGAAGGAAATTCATCCCAGTCTGTAAAAGACTCATGGTGTGATTTGTCATCTATGTGAGAACTGGTGTGAAGCAGGAGTCTCAAGGTGTTTTAGATTTTCATTCCAGAAAGCCCATACTAGTAGAACCAATGGTCAGGTATTCTAGGAGCTGAAATTCAAAACTACTATTCTCCGCTGTAGAGAGATGCTTTCTGCATAAGTTCACCTTGTAAAACTCCATGAGTTTTAATGAAGTATCTTCAGCCAGGCAAAATGCCTTTATTCGTAGATCTAATTAAAAGAAGGGTTGTCATTTAAGGCAGTGAACTGGAAAGTGACTTTCCTCATCCTCTGGCTTCTTCTGTGCTAATCTGTCACAAACAATAGACTCCTTATCACTTCATTTGTTCACCAGAGCAAGATTCAATGACTCTGAATCTCTGGCCTGTGACATCACTACTTCTTCTCTGAAAATATCCCAGGGCAGGGGGTCTCTTGCATTAATTCTGCAGTGCATCACTGCATGAAAGAAATGGGTGTATCTTTTAAGCACAAATTTGTGCCAAGGGGCAGTTTTAAATTAAGAAAGAAAGAAAGAAAGAAAAACAAGTTTTAGATTTGGGGCTTGTGATACTTCACTGAAACTGGGACAAGAATCATCTGTAATATGTTCTTCTCTTTATATGAACTATCCTGAGATCCTATATGGATTAAGGATGGTATATACATATTTTAAATAAGTAAATATGCCTTCAGATATAATGGCTACCGAGTTCTCAGCAGATGACAAAAAAAGTTCTGTCACCTCTGAAGTGAATCAAGGCATTGGGTTTTTCCCCACAACACGTATTCGCTCTGGTGCTGTTGCGGTGCTGACTTCCATCCCCTACTGCTGCTGTGAATGGGAACTGCACTCTATTTTGCATGCTTTTAAGCTTGAGTGTAATTATCTCAGAATGTTTGTTTCCATTTCATGGCCTCACCGTTTAGATTGGCTTTAGTCCATAACATCTTGCGTTATCAGGAATGTGTTTGTCTTTAAGGCTTCACAAGAGTTTTCCTTGTTTAGGTAACTGCATAGGATCACAGTCTTAGCCTACATCAAGCTTCGCAACCTGGTGCCCTCCAGAAATTTAGAACTACAACTACCATCGTCCCTGACCTTGGTGATAGCAGTTGTAATCCAAAGCATCTGGAGGACACCAGGGCACTCCGGTCTGCTTGTTCAGAAAGAGCAAATTTACTGGGACTGTACCTCTTCTGGGTGCACCTTCTGTGGGATCTCATCAGTGACCAGTCCATTATATCAAGTTCCTGCATATAGGAAGCTTGCTCATTAGAAGGAAAGAAAGCTAGGCCCCCTTGTCTGCTTTGCAAAGTGGTCCGATTCCAGGAGGTGCTTTTGGATGCATAAGGCAGGCCTGCGCTTCCAGAAGCCATTGCAAGTGCACGTCCTTTGGGATCCGCTGAGGCTGCAGGCAACCTTATGGGTCAGGCCACTGGTGCACCGAGCTCCCCGGCAGCCATCCGGTTGGACAGGCAGCCTCTCTCCAGGGTTCTGGCATCAGTCTTTCCTTCCCCAGCCTTAGCTGGGGACTCCAGGGAGTGAAGCCGGGGCTTCCTGCTGGCAGAGCATGCCATGAGCCCCAGAACTACCGCCCCTCTGCTAATATCACACAAACAAAATCTGCAGTTTTGTTTAAATGGAATCCAGGCTGAGATGGCTTTCTCTTTTTCAGCCGAGGTGTGGCATACCCAGCCATCCCCAGCCATCCCAATAGGTCCCCCTTCTTTCTGAACATCACAGCATTCAAGCCTTATTTTTAGGACTGGTGGGTTTTGGCCATGCCAGGTGGGAATGATTGGCATTGCAGTCAGGCGCGTCAGGGTTGTGTTGTGTGGTGGGATGCTTGCACAGGCATGTGTGGGAGGGACTGATCTGGAGGTCGGCCTCCCATTCATGCTTCACCCGGCAAACGCCCCGTGAACTCACTCGCTGTCTGTCTTCTCCCTCCCTCTCTCTCTCTCTCTCTCCACCGCAGGACAGGATAACGCCACGGGTGTCTCTGCCCCCCTTCCTCCCGACGCGCTGCAACACCTCGTTGTCCTTTCCCACAATCACAGCCAAGAGTGTGGCTTCATCCCTAGCGTGAAGTCCTCCTTGCTGGAGCAGAGAGCCATGGCCGTCCCAGGCAGCAGCATGGTATGGGAGTGCCTGGCCGGCCACACCTTCTCTTGGAGCCCCCCGCCCGCCCCACAGACCTGCAGGGCGGCCCCCCGCAGAGCCGCCTCCCGCGGCAGCAGAGACGAGGCGGCGGAGAGAGCCGTGAGTCCCAAGCCCAGCCCCCCACCCTCCCCCGCCATCCGACGCCGACGCTCCCTCCGCAGGGCAGCGGCCGCCCATGCCTTTTCCTTAGCGCTTGCTTCCGACTCACCATGTCCAGTGGACGAGGCAGAGCCTTCTCCCCGAGAGGATGGGGAGGGCGGTGCGGACAGAGAGAGCGCAGCATGCATGTCTCCTGGCAGCGGAGCGGGCCCGTGTGAGGAGGCAGAATTGCTGAGTGGCACCAACACTGGCGAGACAGGTGAGGGAGCTGGCAGGCTGCAGGAGGCGGGAGCCCCCCGAGCCAGGCTCGGCGGCCGAGGGTGCGCAGAGGGAGCTTTGGAGGGCTGTGCTGGGCCGCGCGGGCTGAGCGGCGGGCGCGGCACGGAATGGATGGGAGCGTGCAAAGGCCTGGCCCCGTTGCTCGAGAGTTCAGCAGCCTCCCAGGAACCTTGACAGCCATGAGTGTGTCGCACGGTGCAGAGCGTGGTCTGTAAAGCATAACTTTCTAGCCTCATGGCGACGGGGAAAGTGGAAATATCTGGCCAGCTATTGCCAAATGATCAGAAGCCAGCAAGAATCTGGCTGAATTTATTACCGATACTGTCCTGTTTTCTTTTCCTGCTATGTTCGTGTATTTAGACTGTGAGCCTGTGGTCAGAGTTCTGCCTTTGATGATCATGTTATATACTGTACAGCACCTCGCTTTTGGCTGCTTATGGAATTATGATTAATATTCATGTCGTTGTTATTATCACTACCACTGGTACCAGTCCTGCCACCTTACCTCTTCTGGGACAAATCCGTTGAGCTGCAGCTGGCAAATCTGATAATAGGTGTGAGTCGCACAGCAAGGTTCAGTTACGATAGGAGCAGAAATGAGCATTGTCCCTAATAAGAAATGCAATGTCTTTGCAAAACAGAGTAATAGTGGCTGATGGAAACAGAGGAGGAGCAGGAGCAACATCTGGAAGACGGATGGGCTGCAGGCAGTGGTGAAGAAGTCTGTGCCGAGCCCAGGGGCAGGCGGCCAGGAACGGTGCATAAATCCTGGGACGTTTTTGGTGCCTTCAGAGCTTTCAGGATGCACTAGGAGTCACGTGTTCTGCTTTGGGCCTGTGGCCAGAAATTCTGCGACTAGGAGCTAGGAAGGCACTGAATTAGTAAAAAATGGCCAGAATGTAAATAAAGCACCCGCAAGCTTTTGGTTTCGCATTCATTGGCGACAGTGCTGGAGGGCAGGGGCAGGAGTGCTGCTCAGAAGGCGACTGGATGTGCCGTTGCTTGCACATGTTTTTTTTTTACGTGCACAACACAAAGGGATGGTTGGAGATTTTCTCATTTCTTTTAAAAATGCAGAAAATGCAAAGGGGGGAGCCTGGGATGAATTCATGAGGAGTCAGAGCTTCTCCCGTAGCAGCTAACTGCTTGCACCACCTTCAGTTTTTAATGTGATCTCCACAAACATGGCACCTCGAAGCTTACATTTTTTAAAGTGCTTTTTGTGTTTGCAAGCTCTGCATGTTTTGGGAGGGATCAACATTTTATATAACTAGCTTTAACAGTCACACCAATAAACCCACAGGTATTACTCAAGTACAGAAATGCTTGCGGGGCTGAGCACCAGCCCAAGCACATGCCCAAGCGAAGAGGAAAGAAGGAAAACCGTCTCCCAGCAGTTTTCAAATGCTGCTCTGTCTGATTACCTGGAGGCAGTGCTTATTCATCAGGGCTGACCAGGCAGGGGACTGCTTAAAAAATTAAACGGAAATGAGGCAACCTTCTAAATAATGAAACATGCAGTAATGACGTTACTAGATCTGCCTGATTAGACTTTGGTTGTGGTGGGCTCTTTGTGTAAAGTCCTGGTCCCTTCACTCTGGCTGGACACCTGTGCCTTTCTGTATTGCAAAGCTTGCAGTCTTGCTGGTCATTCCAGGTAAGCCAGCCCTTGGTTGGTCTCAGAGCTTCCCACAGGGATGAGTTCAGGTTTCTTTGACTCTGACACATGTGATTCCACAGTGGACTGGCCTTCCCAAGTCACACAGCTTGTGTGGACATGCTTTTTACTTTCCGGAATTTCGTGCCAATTTAGTTGCAGAAAAATAACAAATATAAAAGCAGTGACCAAAAATCCCCCACCCCACCACCACCAAAGGCTGACGTGTGAAAATACACCTTTGTGGAGGATTTGCTAATTTTCAGAAGTGCAAATTTGCACAAGCATGCATGAACACAAGCCTGGGAAATGGAAAAAAATCTGATTCTGTCAGTGACTGGATGAAAGAAGCTTGGCATCCTGTGAAAAATAAGAGCCGTCCATCCTTACCCAAGGTTTACCTGCCAGGCGATGGGGCTTACTGCCCCCTTCCCTCTTGTTTGTCCGACCACCTCCAGCAGGTATTCCAGGATGGAGGAAACGAGGCAGCTCCAGTTCTCTTACTCCTCGCCCCTTTCTTCACAGCTGTATGCAAATATGCAGATGGGCAACTTCATTTTGCCAGTGTTCCTGTTGGACAACTCTAAGTGTGCCCTTGAGAAAGACTGACAAGGATTATTTTCTTTAATGTGGCCTCAATTGTTCATTTTTGAGGCGAAGCCACAGAATAAATGATGGTCCTTCCAAAGTGGCGAAAGGCCAGTCTGTGGTGAGATCACGAAAAGTGAGCAGCGTGGACTTTTGGCCACTTGTGCCAAGTGGCCCTGGAGCCAATTGTGGCAACCCAGGATAAAATTGGTCTCCTGTGTTTGGATGACACAACAATCCATGGTGTGAAAGAAACATCCAAGAATAAGCCATGGGTTGTCTGTGTGGCTTATTATTCCCAAAGAATAAGCAACCCATGGAAAATGCTCCAGGTTCAGATGACACAACAACCCACCATGGCTGCCTGCCCATGGGTACTTGTCATGTCATGTAAGCCCAACCATCCTGTGGTTCTTGCCACCCAGCTCTGATGGTGCCGTGTTTTCTCTTGCAGCGGCTCCCTCAGAAGAGATTCCAGAGAGCACGGAATTAATTGCTGAGCCGGAAAGGTAAGGCGCTTCCCTCTTTCCCTCTCAGATTCTCCCAGATGGCCTGCCAGCATGCATGGCTTGCTTGGCACGTACCACACAGACCTGGAGTAGCCCCAGGGAGGAGAGGGTGGCAGGCTGAGTGATGGAGTCCTCCGGAGCTGGAGCCAGGGGCTCCTTGTCTTTGGCTTCTTCACTTCTGACTTCCCTCTGGTCAGATATGAGCAGCAAGCCTACCGTGGTCTGAACCAATCCCTTTTGGTTGGATGTATAACTTTACTCAGATTACTGAGTGGTTACTGGTTGTGCATCTGGAGCAACCAGATCTTCCCATTTCCAGCTGAAGCCAACACGGTCCACACACACACACCATCCTTAATCCATACGGGATTTCAGGATGGTTTACATAAAGATAAGAAAACAACAATGAAATCCACAACTGCACTTCGAATACAATATACAGTCTATAAAATATATAATAAAATCATGTTCTCCTCACACTGAGACAAGATGGGGCCCTTTTTGCAATAGTGAAACAGTTTAAGCTGCCATTTAGAACAGAAGTTTGTGATTTGAGAGAAAGGCCATCTATTCCATTTTCCTTTTCATGGTTCTCCATCAGAAAAAAGACAACCTTGGGAAATATGTAGATCACCCTATTTATTATATCCTGCCTTTTTTCCTGCAAGGAACTCAAGGGAGATGATATAATCTTCCGCTTCATTTTATTCTTACAACAACTTTGTGAGGTAGGTTGAGCTGAGGTTAAGCTGAGCCCAGAGAGACTCAGGGAGCTGCATAACCAACTGGGACTAAAACCCTGCTCTCCCCAGTCCCAGACCAGGACTCTCACTGCTACACCATACTGCCTCACATATGCTCTTTTCATAAGTGGGTGGAGAGGATAAGGGGAGTTGTAGTCCAACAGCAGATGGAAGAAAGCTTAACAACGCAGTGCAAAGTGTGGATAGGAAAAAGGCCGGCGCTTACCATGCCCCCGTGCACAGCCTTCCTGTTAACATTCTCCACCTCTAGCAAAGACAACAGACCAACTACAGTTCTGGTGCTGAACCGCTCTCAAATTAAATTTTGGAGAACTTCTCTGGACCCACCCTGCAGTGGCAGACAGGGCTGAAGGAAAGGAGATGGGACTCAGTGCCGAATAGACTTGCGTACGTTGGCCTTACGCTCCGAGTACCAGTGTCTCGGCCTTGAGGGCGGCCGCTCCAGCCCAAGGGGGTCTCCACCTGAAGTGAGGACACTTGCCGCCACCCCAGGCCCTTCTCCCCACTGCCACCTTCAGTGTGAGCTCAGCAGGCCAGCCAGTGTCCCGCAGCGTTGATGCTGAGGGGAAGCAGGGACGCGTAATGCCAGGGAAGCTGCTTTGTAGCTGCTCCAAAGGCCCCCCTGCTGGCTTGCTACCTTGGCAAATGCCCCTGAGAGAGAGCAGCTGGCCAGGGCCTTCAGGGCACCCACTGGAGTGACCGCAGGCCCTCCTGGCAAGTGGGGGAGTGGCCCCATTTGCCACCTCCTCTGCCACCAGATGCAGGTACCCCAAGTTTGCTCCATGGAAGGGCTAGTCCTGCGGAAAGGCATCCCAGCCTTTGGAATGGAGAAAATCACTCACAGAGAGACTCAAAATAGGTGGTGGGGAGGAATGGGCCCACCAAGTGATGTGGGGAAATGGGCGCCGACCTCTGGGGACCCTGAGCAGGCCAGGTTACATCCTGGGCTGAGGTCCAGCAGCCTTGAATGGAAGCCTTGGCTGTTCAGTCCACCAGGGGAAGCCTGCAGGCCTGATCGAAATCATGTCCCCGTGTGCAGAGGCCAGGCAGAGGCCTGTCAGTGCAGCAGGTCATGCCGCATGCAAGGGTTTCTCAGGGCCACCTGGGGACCACAGTGGGAAGGGATGCAGGGGGCGGGCCAGGTGGGCCTTCAGTGTCATTTGGAAGGGCAGCTCTAATGCCAGGTTGGGCAACGGAACCATGGAGGGGAAGGGGCTCAGCAAGCTTGTCAGGTGTGGGCGATTCTTCTGCCCTTGAGGCCAGGCTGAGCTTGACAAACTGGGCTCCAGTCCCAAATGCTCTGCACCCCTCATTCTTTTTGGGTGTGGGTACTTTCCTTCAGCACTTTGACTGCAGAAGAGGAGACGCCTGACCAACCAGAGGAGGGAGGAGAAGGGGAAGCGGGAGAGGATTTGGCGGAGGAAGATGACTTGGCATACACTGATGACCTGCGAGATGAGAATTACCATCCTTCCCTGGACAGGTATGGGGCTCAGGGGAAGCAGTTCCTCCTTCAGTGTGGATGCGGGATACGCTGGCAGAGGAGGCGCCTGCGTTTTTGTTCACTGGGGGCAAAGAGGGATCGGTGGAAGGAAGGGCTGCGTGTGCTTGCCAGCTGTAGGAAGCCCCTAAAGCCTTCCAGGGAGTTCGTGGGAGTGTTCCGGTGCAGCGTCCTGCAACATTCAAAGAGCGAGTGCTGGAGTGTTGTTTCCTGCTCTTCTGTGGCAAACGAGCTGGGATGGCTCGGGAGGGGACGAGCTCCAGCGGCCCAGGACTGTGACCTGGAGCAGACCCTGCCCCTGCAACAGCAAAATCGGCTGCACCTGTGGACATGTGCCGCTCCCGCTGCCCCAGTGGGCACGGGGCACTGCCATCGGGGCTGGAAGCTGTGTGGCCCAGCACCGAACTCGGCCCGGATCGTGGCCTGCCCTGCCGCTCCACATGGGACGGGAGAGCCGGCGTGTGCAGCGGCTGGAGCGTTGGGCTGGACTTGGGAGATGCAGGCTGTGATGCCGACTCGGCCCCATAGGATACAGCAGCAGCAGGGAGGCTGTGTAAGCCGCTTCAGGTCCCTCGCGGAAGGAAGGAGGACAGGATGCAAATGGAGGAATGACTGCAACATTCGCAGTGAAACGAAGTCGAAGCACAAGGGCTGCATTGCTGAGCTGCGTGGGGCTCGCCCGTGACCTGGCCTAGCGCGCTCTGTCAGCGTGTGCCTTTCCTTCCCGGAGTCCCCAGGCAGCAGGCAGGGCACCGAGAGGCCCCTTGTTCAGACAAGGATTAAACCTGAACCCGCTTAGCTTTAGAAAGGACCCTAGGAGGTTTTCCCCCACCCCGCATTTTTTTCTGCGTGGCAGCGGAGGCTGAGAGGCTGCGGGGCTGCCAGGCGAGCGTAGCAGGAGGGCTGCGCGTGGGCACGGCTGCGTCTGCGGATTTTCCTCCTCTGCAGCAACCAGAACTCTGTAAGGCATGTAATATATGAGGGGTCTTCAAAAAGTTTCTGTACTTTTATAAATAGATTTATATTTTTTTGCCGATGGCATTAACGATGCTGGGGAAAATGCATCGCAAAGGGAGGTGACTGCAGAAAAGTGATGTACTTTGTTTTTGAAATTCTTAATAAATAGCGTTTTTTAAAAGTGCAGAGACTTTTTGAAGACCCCTCTATACGGGGATAACATACAGCGATGCTGACTCCAGCCGTCGGCCAGTGCTGCTTTTGTTCCATACGATTAGAATTTCATTTCTTCAGTCCCCCAAGCAGAGCAAGGGCCAAAGCAAGACTGAGTCACTCTCTGCCCCCGTTTCCTCCTCTCTGCAGGGACTCCAAGCTGCAGAGGCACCCAAGCTTGGCCAAGTGTTGCAAGAGCCCTGCGCAAGAGGAGCAGCCGTCCAGTGAAAGCTGCCCCCTGGGCCACAGCCCTGCCGAAGACAAAGGCAGCAGTGGATCGGGGTGAGGGGGCCGGTGGAGAAAGGTGGGCGGGGTGGACACGGGGCCTGGCGTTCACGGACCTCAGCCAGAAAGCACAGTCGGGGAGAACTCTTCAGGCTGCCGGGGGGGAGACAACAAGAAGGACAGCTGAGGGAAGCTAGATGAGTGAGACGAGAGATGTGCAGAAAGAGTCAAGAGGCTGATCCCTCAGTGTTTGTGTGTTTGGCTCTGAATTTGTTTGCAGCAGCATTGGAGGGGGAATGGGGAGCCGTGCTCGGCCCTTTCCTTGAAACCCACTTCCCTGAGCAAAATCTCTCTTCCTGCTCACCATCCGTTTCACTCACACACACGGCCCCTTATACTCCCTGGCTGTTTTCTGCCCACAGAGAAAAAATAGGCCACATACCTCCTTCCCTGTAGGAGAAAGTAGCTGGTGTGCAGGAGGTCCTGAAAGACATTCCCTGCATCTCTCAAGTCACACATATTTTGCCCCGATTAGTGGTGGCACTCAGGGGTCAGCGCACCTGACACAGGAGCTTTACTCCCCCCCCACCTTCCTCCATGGGCTGGGTGCTAAACCGTCTTGTGAAATCCCACGACCTGCTGCTCTTTTCTCAGACCCCAGAGAGCAACCAGTCAGTGGTGGGTAAATGGCCCAGTGCCTTGTGTGGCGAGGGCTGCTGCCTTTGGCCCAGGACTCGTCGCATGATTTTTCCGTCTCTGTGTCCCCAGTACTTTTTTCAAAAAGGGTTGCTTTCTCCTACTGATCAAAGTGGCCTCCTGAAGGAACAGGTTCCTTTGCTGCATGTGCCAAGTGTTCTTCTTCCTCTACAGCTGCAAGAAGCGGGTGCAGCCTGGTGATGAGGACGTGGCCCAGATCGGTCCAAAGAGAATCAGGTGGGCGCTGCTGCATCGGCCTTTCCACCTTGGAGGGCACATTGCTAGACAAACACAGAAGGCCAAGGGGGTGTGGAGCACATCCTCTGCTTCAAGGCCTGATTAGGGTTGGCACACTAGTCCGTTGGCCACCCCATTATTTTATTTTACGTTTTACAAAAATAGTGGTATCCCTCGTTTCCCCTCCGGAAAGTAATTGCTGAAAGGCCTAACAAAGTATTACAAAACAGTAAAAATAACCATCATCAGTATTTCACCTGAAGTTGATGAATCCTGTCCTGCTACAGCTTTTCTTCACCTTTTTAAAGAAGTTAATTCCATTGGTTTACAACAGCCTCCCCTGACCTGATACCTTCCAGGTGGGTTGGACTAGTCAAGGTTCACAATAGCTTCTGTACAGCCTGAAGTCTCTGATCCTGCCTGAACTTGGCTGCTGAGCAGGGTTGGTCCTGGTCGAAATTTGGGTGGGTGACTTAAATGTTGTGGACTATCCAGAGAGCTTCAGCTATGGGCAGTATAGAAATGAAAATAATGAATGACTGCAGTGCTGTGCACTGTTCTGTGATTCTGCTGTGATCTTTAGGGCTGGAGGTCTTACGGGCTTCCTCTCTCCTTCACTTTCTTTGCAGGAAGGCAGCCAAGCGGGAGATCCTCCTCTGTGACTATGACGGCTGTGGGAAGATTTTCTCTAACCGCCAGTACTTGAATGTAAGCAGTATATTGGGGCAGGAGGCCCGGGGCACTGAAGGGGGACACACATGGTCTGGCTATGAAAACAGCCCTGCTTCCTGGACAATTTTGGTGAAATACTTTTCCCGCAAGGGGCGTGGGGGATCTCTGCCCCTGGTCCTCTCCTTCCAGTAGCTTCTGGAGTCCTAATCTGGGATACCATGCCTGGGGAAGATGGGAGGTGCACTCCAGCACATCTGGAGGTCACCAGGCTTGGGATAGCTGCCTTGAGGTGTTTCATCTTTGCAAAATGCTGAGTTACCGTGGCAACTCGGACTGGGCTGCCAGGAGTACCAGCAGCAGCAAAGAGTGGCATAAAAGAGGGGTGAGCGGTAAAAGTAAAGGCGAGGCGTGGGATTTCTTCCTGCCCAGGAGCAGGTTGCTAGTCTCCCTGCACAGCTAGTGCCATCGGAGAGGCGTTCTTCCGATGCTTGGGGCAGTAGCGCCTTCATCCATCGCCTCCACTGGGGAGCGCACAGAGCAGCCAGGCCGGCTCAGGCACGGTCCCCTCCCTCCCACCTCTGAGGAGTGGGGGCTTCGGGAAGGGTCCTTGCCTGAGGCTGCTAGGCACCAGGCTGGAGTCTCAACACCCCAGGGCAAATCCTTGGTTAGAGAGGACTGGCCAGTTGACTCGGCTGACCCGTGTACCAGCTGAGGAATGGCACCTTCATATGTTAACAAAGCACTGCGCAAAACTCCCCCCCCCCAAGGGACGCAAATTCAGTGGGTGCACACAAAAAGATGCGCCAAGTTGTTCTACAAATGGCGACAAGCGTTGGAGAGTTGCAGGTGGAGCCTCTGCATTCTCTTTGGGTTCCCAGGCACCGTTGGCACAAACAGCAGCATACTTCCCTATTTCCAGCCTGCCCTACCTTTAGGCACCTGGCTGCTTCAGATATGCAGGTGAAGGGAGCACATATAAATCTCCCTGCCTTGGTTTGGAAGGGTCCTCAAAGAGGGATAAGAGCATTGGAAGAGCAGTGCTGGATCAGGCCAGAGGCCCATCTAGTTCAGCACTCTGCACATGCCAGCTGCCCGCAGGATCCCTCGAGCAGGATGGGGGCAAGACCTCCTCCTGCCCAAGCTCCCCAGCAACTGGCGTGTGCAGGCCTGCCACCCCGGGCAAGGAGGAAGCACGTGGCCAGCCAGGCTGCTGGCAGCTACTTGGGGCAGCAGCCATGCCTGCTCGGGGGAGCCCTCTCATGGAAGGGCCTGTGGCTCACTGCGAGGGGCCTGCTTGCATGCAGAAGGCCCCCGGTTCGGTCCCCGGCCTCTCTGGCTCTGGCTGGGGAAGCCACTGCCTGCAACCCTGCGGAGAGGCTGCTGGCAGCCGGCAGCATCCCCAGGCCAGGCAGCACAGGGTCCGACCTGGCAGAAGGCAGCTTCTTGCACACGCGTGAGAAGCCTTGGTAAGCTCCATTTCATGCAGTGTGCATATTCAGTCTGGACTGTTTTGTGTGTGTCCCCTCCCCCCCCCCCCCGCCCCCCACAACTAGCACCACAAGAAGTATCAGCACGTTCACCAAAAGACCTTCACCTGCTCCGATCCCAGCTGTGGCAAGTCCTTCAACTTCAAGAAACACCTGAAGGAGCACGAGAAGCTGCACAGCGGTGAGCAAACAATGCCTGCCACCGGAGGGCGCCTCCCTGGGCCTCGTCATACAATCACCGCCCCCAGTGCCCCAGGCTTGGGCCCACTTTGGGCCCAGATGCTTTGCGGTGCCCCAATTCCAGCTGATGGCTAGCAGGGATGACGGCGACGACTCGTTGCTACATTGCATTTATAGCCTGCCCTTTTTCCTCTTGCGAGAAACCCAAGGCAGCTTACACGGTCCTGCTCCACTCTGTTTTACCCTCAGAACAACAACCCTGTGAGGTGGGTTAGGCCGAGAGCCTGTGACTGGCCCAGAGCCACCCAGTGACCTCCGTGACTGAGTGGGGACGGGTACCTGGAATTCCCAGGCCCCTGGGCCAGCACGCCGGCTAGCACACCCGCCTGCCCGTCGTCCCCAGGTGCGCTCTGGGGCTGCGTCGCCTGGTACGGCACAAGCTAAAGGCCCGTCCACCCGGCGGTCCTTCGCAAGAGCACCGCTGCCCCATTGCCAGGATGCGGCGGTCTTGATGAGCGCTCCCACGGACGGCGGTGGTTTTCCCTCATCCCTCCCTGGAGCAGTCCGGCTAGTCTGCTGTTTCCTCACTGCCAGCCGCAGCGGGAGCACTGTGAACAAATGTGGCCATGGAAAGCTGGGTGACTGTGGGGACTGGGCAGAGGAACACCATGAAAGCAGGGGGAATCCTAACCCTGCATCACCGGGAACTGCAAGCTACATACATTCCTATTTGGGCAGGTCCCACAAGAGTCAGTTCCAGTTTAGTGTCCTTGCATACCTGTTCTTCAAACTGGCAACACGCCTGGTATGCAAAACCCAAGAATACCACTATATAGCACCTAGAGCTGGTGGGGTATCGTGGATAAGGAGGTGGGATTGGGACTCAGGAGATCTGGGTTCCAGCCCCCACTCAGCCACGGAGCCCAGTGGGTGACTTTGGGCCAGTCACGGCCTCCCAGCTCAGCCTAGGTCACAGAGTTGTTTCTGGGAGGGTAAGATGAAACGAGGAGGAGAATTATGTAAGCTGCCTTGAGTTCTTTGAAAGGAAAAACGCAGGATATAAATATATTAAATATAAAATAAAATAGACCAGCCACCTTATCCTCAAATAAAAGAATGGTCTGTGGCAAGGGAAACGTTTTAGAGGTTTGCAGTGCAACCCCATGCCCGTCCATTTGGCCGTGAGTCCCGCTGAGTTCGGTGAGGCTTGCTCCCACGGGGGGGGGCTGTGGCAGCGGGGTGGCGGGCAACGTCTCCTCTGCCCCATTTGGATTTGGGGTGGGCTGCTGGCGTGTGCACGCAGGCTCATTCGGTCATGCCTGAAGCCTCAGGTCCCATCTTTCCTTCCACGGATAATCCTAAGTTCACCGAACAGAGCTTACTTGCCTTGCCTTTCCCTTTGTGCACCCCCCCCCACCAAAAAACTGCTTCTGAGTTTGGGGGACCGTTGGGAGTGGCGTAGCGCATGGTGCAGAGACTGCAGGTTGGCAGAAAAGGGGAGCTGAGAGAAGGCACCATTAGGTGTTTTCTTCACCATGTTCACAATTAAGTGAATGGAAGAACGGGGCAGGGGGCTGGGTAGACGTGCAGGAGGTTGTTTGTCTGTGCCCCCACTGGAACTGTTGAGAAATATTTTTAATCCAGACTGGCGCTACTACTGGGCTGTTGGCAGAAGATGCTGATGGACAGGAATTGGTGGCTGGGCCAGGAGTTAGGGGACAGCTGTGTGCCCCCACCCCCATGCCTCCAAGTCCACCTGCTACGCCCGGGTGCGTGGGGGACGCTGCCCCAGTGCCAGGACTGGAATTCGGTGGCCCGCCTGGTCAGCTTTTGTACGTGGGGCAAGGCTGGGGTAGAACCCAATCTTGTCTTTTGCCTCAAACAGCAAAGCGTCTTGAGCTGGCCCTGGTGGCGTTTTTGATCTAGTTACCTGATGGCCTTCATGGCCCCTTCCAACTCTACTATTCTATGACATGTAATTGCTGATCAACACGATCATCATCATCGAGTGATTCAGTGTTTCACATGCTTCCTGCACCTGACGTGCCTTTCCCTTTCCTGCAGATAAAAGGGACTACATATGTGAGTTCTGTGCCCGCTCCTTCCGAACGAGCAGCAATTTGATCATCCACAGACGGATCCATACGGGAGAAAAACCCTTGCAGTGAGTATCTGCCCCCACCCCCCAGCGCCTTCCGGTCTCACGGTGGCCTAAGAGGAGCGGAACGGCCCTGCCGGATCAGCCCAAGAGCCTGCCCGGGCCAGCAGCCTGCTTCCTGCAGACTCCCACCCCTCCAGGAGGCCCTTCCAAACAAGCCATCAAGCCCACCGCTTTCTCCATCCCACGGTGGCTGCTGCCACCCAGCCCACGGTTAGCACCCAGTGGCATACGGCAGTGAATGTGCTTACATTTAAAAAAAAAAAACTCCCACAACTCCCTTTATGGCAGCTGTAAGGAGTTGCAGGGCATTTCCCCATCTAAACACACACACAGATTGCTCCTCGGTGTCTCTCAATCTGGGGGTTTCATGGCTAGCATTACAATTAGCCTTGGACAGAGCAGTCCTCTGGCAGTTTTGCCCGGCACCCCATTGGAACGCGAACAACCCCAACCTTTCTGGCTGGGAACTAGACCGGGGAAAGCAGCATCTTGTGGCCAGCAAATTCCACATATTTTAAGCATCCATTATGTGAGGAAGGCCTTTTATTTAGTCTGTCCTGGATCTCCTGTCCCATCTGTGTATCTGGGAGAGTTCTGGTTTCATGAGAGAGGAAGAAAACCTTGCAAGGGCTCCTCAGACTGAGTAAACTGCAGGGAGATGGCCCCTTCCCGGCTGCTTTGAAGTGTGGTGGAGGCACAGGAAGGACAGAAACTTAAGGAGAGAACCAGTAGTTTGCAGACTGTGATTCGTGGTTGAACCATGTTGGGATGGGTTCAGGCAACACAATAACCCATGGTACAGCAACAGCCCATGCTCAAGCCATACTGAACCCCTGGCTGTGGGCTACTGTGTTGTCTGAACCCAGTCAGGAGATCAGATCATTGGTTCATCTGGCCCAGCGCGGTCAACTTGCCAGGGTCTCAGGCAGGAGGTTTTCTTGCCCTGTGTAGGAATCCTGTGGACTGAACCTGCTGCTCTGCTCCCGGGATACCGCAGTGCACAAGGGTGGCTTTCGGATCACCTTTGTTGCAGCCTTCAGTCTCGTCTCGCACAGTGACACCCCTTCTCCTTCCCGCTTAGGTGTGAGATCTGCGGATTCACCTGCCGCCAGAAAGCCTCCCTGAACTGGCACATGAAGAAGCACGACGCCGATGCCTTCTATCAGTTCTCTTGTGACCTCTGTGGCAAGAAGTTTGAGAAGAAGGACAATGTCACAGCTCACAAGAGCAAGAGCCACCCAGAGGCTGCGGCTGGGCCTCCACAGCCCACGCAGGAGGCTCCCGTCCTGGGCCACTCGGTGTCAGTGGAGCAGCTGGAAGGCCGACCCAGTGACCTGGAAAAGCCATCTCCCCTTGCCATTGCAGTCCTTATCGAGTAGAGGGCCCTGCAAGTCAAGTAGGAAAACAGCAGAGAGGATTCCGGCCCGATCCTGTTTGCGACAGAAACAGGCCCAAGGCACTTGCTCCCAGCTGCAGAGGGCCAGTGAGGATGCATAGCTGAGTTTTCCAGGGGGCTGGGGGCCAGGAAGACCTGGAGTCCACAAAGCAGTGGCGCACCCACCACATTCCTTCAACAGTGCTCCTTGTCAGCTCACGCCCAGCGCCACACGGACAGTCCTGGGCTCAGCTTTGCCGGGTTACAGGATGATTAAGAGTGGCCCAGTAGGAACCTCAGACGCCTTAATGTGGTAGCAGCTCGCTCGGCCCACAGACTGCAATAGGAGCGGGGCTAAGGCAGCCTAGAAAGCTGCTCAGGAGGCACTGGTAGCTTTGGATTTAGCCTACTCTCGATGGACAAGGGTGGAGGATGCACCACACCCTCCTGTCGCTTTCCAAATCTTCTCCTCTGGGGACCTTCGAAGATGCCGCTTTCCCACGTGGCCCACCGCGCTTTCTCGTGTTTCCGTCTGTCGCTCGGATCGGCTTGCCTCGGTGTTTCTTCTTGGGGATGGCCCCGAAAGCCAACCCTGCGAGTGGCTGGCCCAAGGACCGGACCAGGACCCTTCTCTATGCAAAGCATGCACTTCACTGAAGAGCGCTTCCATCAGGGCTTGGGGGCACTTTGTGCTAAGGAGACCAACAGTCTGTGCCGAGAGCAGCTGAATTTAGCAACTTGTATAAATTACACAATTCGAGGGTGTGCTTGTTTTACACAAAAAGGCTTTGCTGGTCATGACTGATTTGTTGGGGAGCGGAACAGAGCATGTTAATCCTATCTGCTGGCCGCTGGAAATGCTATGCTTCCACCCAGCAACACCCACCAATTCTCAAGCCTACAGTATTTAGCAAGAACCAGGTCCTTATGCCTGCAAAAAGGCTAGGGAAGAGGGTGGGTTTATGGGGAGAGGATATTTTTAAATGGAAGCTAAGATTCTCAGGAAGCTAAATTCTAGAGCCAATCCCATACCCTGTTTTTTATTCTGTGCTTGCGTGTTGTTATTAGAGGCATGCAGTTCTAGCCAAGGCTACCTTACACCCTGCCTAAGTAGCCCAGCTTTTACATTGTTTTGCTGGCTACTGAGTATGTTTGGCCTTCACCCCTGTGTTCTTCACAACTAGCAAGATGTTTCACATCCACTGGTTTGAGATTCTGGTTTGGTGCTTTTGTCACCTGAACGCATCTTGCTGTCACTATTACAACATTGGAAGCCAAGCAAAGAGCTGGTGCCAGAAAATCCAACAGGAAAAAATCTTTAAGAAGCTGCCTTTTAGGAAGCAGCATGAATGACCTGGGCCTTTTCCCATTCTTGATACTCAGTTTGGGAAGCTCTATGCTTGAAGCTGCATTCTTTGCTGTTCCTGCCCTGCAGCAGGGGATGCAGAGCAGTGGCAGAGGTTGAGCTTAATTACCTATGGATGGATTCCCATTGTTGTGAAGCAAAACACCGTGCACTGACATAAAGAACATGGGATCCACCCATCTGATCTGGCCCGGCCACGTGGTCATGACTTGGGAAAGCTTGGTTGTCTAGCAGTTATAGCAAATTTGACTAGAAAGAATCACGGAGATTCCATGAAAAAAGGTTCTACTTAGGCTCTGCATGTTCTCTCTGCAGCAGCTTTGATTGTTCAGACCGACCTGCTTCAGAGAGATGCCAGAATCACCCACGCTTGAAGGAGGTCTTCCTCTGCATCTCTGCATGAGTTTGTTCTCTGCGTGTTCTTCCCTTTAGTTTCTTCCAGGGTGCGAGGGAATGGTGCCTGCAGTGCTTCATTCAGAAAAAAAACTATCATATCTCAGCGATCATATATTTTGGTAGGCCGATCCAGCATGTATAGTGTACAGAGTGCATTTGTTCTAGCTTCATTGCTTTTTGGAGCACTGATATGCCTCGTTTAAGACAGAATTCAAAAGAGACCAGTTTGCTGAACTAATGGCTGAGCACAGATTCTACTCCAAGAGTTCGTATACCCTACAAATGTAAACAATTTTAACACTCACATGGGTACATAGTGAACCCTGGGAATTGTAGTTTTCAGGGGAAGGACCTCATACTGAGAGTTCTCAACTACTTCAGAGATCTATAATCAGGATTATGTCTATTTTCTGCAACGAGGAAAGACTTTAAATTTTGAATCAGAAGCTAGACGGTGCCATCAGAACCTCACTTTTTGGGACTAATATGTTATGTTTTATTTTGTAAAATCTATTCTGTTAATCACAGGATGGAAAAAAGGAGCAAAGCCCTAAAGCTCTGGCTGCTTCTCTTGCTTTAGAGACTTTACCAGGTTTTGCACATGTAGTGGATCTTTCAACCATGAGGGTTAGAAGCACCTTTTAAAGGGAGTTAAGGTTATGATGAAGACAAATGTGGGAATCTACATTCTGTTATTTTTCTGTACTTATTTATACTTGCAGCACAAGTGCTTCCTATATTTCCCAGAATTTCTCTGATGAGATTTTTATTCCTCTCTCAGCCATTGGATTCACTGGGTGAAACTGAGACACTTTCCATCTAAGTGGGATATCCTGCAAGTATATCTTCCTGAAATTTCAGGGAGAAAGGATGTGTAATCTCACGATGTCACAAATTAGAGATGCTCCAACTTGGAGTCGTGCCTTGAGCAGGAAGTGGACCAAGTCAATGATCTTATTGTCCCCTTCCAACTCTACTATTCTATGGCTCTAAGTGTCACTAGCTGGCCTCCCCCCCCCCCCCCCCCCCCCCCCCCCCCCCCGGGCCATGGTGGTTACCAGCAAATAGTGCCAGGCCTCCAGAGCTTAGACTCATAAAATCATCCCACAGTTTGAAAAGAATCTGGACATGATTTAGTGTTGTTTATTAAAACAGTACATCCCTGATCCATAGTTACCCTTGAATCTTAAGAACATCCATTGATGTCACAACTAAATTAAGACTGTTTGTTATGCACTGTCAAGTTGTCGCCAACTTGTGCAGACACTGCCCCCCCCCAAAAAAAGAAAGACTTAGCCATTTGAAGATGTCAAGTATGACTGGCCTATAGCAAGTTAAAGTATCTAGTTCTCAGGGTTGCAGAGGTAATGCCTGCAGCTGATCCTAGCTTAGACAACTTTAGACAAAAGTAACAGAGAATAGGTCTATACATAGCTATGTGAGCTAAATAATAACCTCTGTGTTAACAGTAGCATACCTGTGAATTCTGGGACCAAATGGATGTAGGGAAGGAGGGTGGTTCTCATGCCTGGCTTATGGGCTTCCCAAAATAAGCAGGACTCTAGATTAGACAAACCCTTGGCCCCTTTCCTGATGGATCTGTTGAGCCAGATCAACCCATGAGGACATGAGCGCAACAGCCCCTTCCCACCCTTGCTCCCCAGCACCTGATCTGCCAAAGCATCTTGCCTGTGATCCTGGAGGCGAGAGAGAGTCCTTCTGGCTTGATAGCCTGATCTTCCATTGATTTGCTTGATCCCCTTTTAGCTGGCTTACAGATTCCATAGTTACTGCTGTGTGACTTACTTCCTTTTGTCTCTCCTGAATCTCCCATCGTTCAGCTTCATTGGATGACCCCAGGCTGTGGCATTGGGAGGTGGGGAAGATCCATACACTTTCTCCACCTATTGCAGACACTCTTGCTTATGCCAGGGCAGCTGCTGCGTGGCTCAGGCTAAAAGGCACTGGGAAAAGCATCATTTGTGACTACAGAGTACATCACCTTAAGGAAACATTTAACCCACAGATTGTTTTTCTAAACCAATTTGAATTTATTTCTATAAATATCCATAGCAGAAGTGAATGTTTAAATCACTTTAACTTTCCATTGAAAGCAAACTGATTTTTTTCCTAACCAAGATAACACTCTGTAATGCCCAAACTACTTGCTTGTTACTGTTCTGAATTTCTCTTTGGGGCTGACCTGTTGTGAGAGATCAGAAAATGTGCTTCCTCCATTCCTCATGAGAATTGCAAAAAAAAAAAAAAAAGTAAAACAGTTTTGACAAATATTTGCTAATAAACTAAATTTGGTTTCCTTTGGTTCTGCTATTTCTACTAATTGTCTTTTCATTTGAAAAGTCTCCTGACTCAATGGGAACTATGCAGAGCATCTATGAAGTTGCCTTGTACACTCACCTTGGTCCAGCTATTAAGCCATCTGTTTACAGTCATCCCAAGCACCTGCCAATATTTTAAACCAGGTGGGGACCCAGGTCCAAAATGAATTTTGGGCAAGTTCTCAAGGGCCAGATTCCAAGTGATGGGGCGGGTCAAAGAAAAGTCGGTAGGCTGGAAGTGAAAGTTGGTGGCACCAAAATACATCTTGTAGCTTAAAGTTCTTGTTGCCGGTATTTCTCTCAGGGCTTAGAGAGAAACATTTCAAGCATTTAGGCTGGAGAAGTGAGGTGGTTTGAAAGGCAGGAATCATTAACAACTGGTCCAAGGGAGAACGGGTGAGGCCATGAAAGGATTCCAAGGCCAGCTTGGGGCCTCAGGCTTCAGAGTTCCCCCTTGTCTTTACATGCAGAGACTGAGAGAGAGTGGAATCTCAGAAGCTGTGCTCTCTCACCAACATCTAGCTTTTGTTGTTCAGTCACAAAGTCACTCTTCGTAACCCCATGAACACCATTCCTCCAGGCTCTTCTATCCTCCACCATCCGCCAGAGTCCACCTAAGCTCACACAGAGTGCTTCAGTGGCTCCATCCACCCACCTCATCCTCTGCCGTCCCCTTCTTCTTTTGCTGTCAATTGTTCCCAGCATTAGGATCTTTTCCATTGAGTCCTTCCTTCTCATTAGGTGGCCAAAGTATTTGAGCTTCAGCTTTAGTACCTGACCTTCTAAAGAGCAGTCAGGGTTGATTTCCTTTAGGATTGACTGATTTGATCTCTTTGCAGTCCAGGGGCCTCTCAGGAGTCTTCCCCAACGCAATTCAAAAGCATCAGTTCTTCGACGCTCAGCCTTTCTTATGGTCCAGTTCTCACAGCTATACATTGCAACTGGGAAAACCTCAAAACCTTTTTATTGAGTCATACTATAGATCCATGTAGCCTGTATTTTCTACTCATTCCTTGCTCTTTGATCTGAGATTCTTTAACATAAGGTTCAGGAATAAACAGCAGAAACTTTTGTGTACAAAGTGGGGCATGTTTGCCACATGATCTGAATAAATATACTCAGCAATTTCTAAAAAATCTGTGTATTCAAGATGCTCCTTCCCTGTTGAAAATTCTACATTGGACTATGCTTTATTTAAATTTATGAGTCACTGAAATCAGTGAGACTGAAATCATGGGTCTACTCTAAGCCTGATCTAGCCCATTACCTTATGCAATTGATCGTTAGCTATTTGAACAATTTGTCACCCAATATTCACTTTAAATTGTACAAATGTCAGTACAAGATTCTGGCCTCAGGTTTGCCAGATTGTATTTTACCAACCAAATATGTAAAGCTGCCTGAAATGTTCTGCTTTTATTAAACTCAAAATCAGGGGCTAGTTTTGAATGCTGAATCCTACAGCAACTGAAATTCAATGGGACTTACTCCCAAGTAGAAGCGCAGGGTGCAGAAGCATTGGTTGGTAGAATTCCCACACTAGAGGGCTCTCTAAATATAGCTAACCGAAGGAAATGGCCTCTCTTCCTCACTGCCTTCCTCTTTGCGAAACTTTCACTTCCCAGTCAAGGCTCTGCCTAACTCATCACTGGTCCCGCCTTTATTTCTTAGACGTAAAAAGAGGCGTGGCTAAGTAGCACATGACGCTCCTCGTCAGAGCTTGGCCAGATATCACATGTCGGGCCAGAGTAAGAACTAGTTAGGTGCGGTCGGCCGGCTCTGGCTTTTTAAAAAGAGTTATTTTTCTCTCCCCAGTCAGAAGTTTCAGAATATCCCAGATTAAATAAGGCCGGGCAGCGAAGAGGCTTGGATGCAGCAAGGAATCAACGCAAGAACTTCGCTGCGAGATCTTGTCCGAGCTTTTCCTTCATTTTTGAAAGGGGCAGACTCTAATCCACCCCTTTGGTTCGGATCGTCTCAGCGGGAAGCGGAGAAAAGGGGCGCAGCTTGATTTGTGCATGTCACCAACGTCAGAACCAGCTAAACTCGACAGACGAGAAGATCTGTACTCGCCGGCAACGATTAAGCAGGGCTTCGTGGTTCCCTGGATTTGGCTCAGGGGAGGAGTCGTTTGGGCGTAGCATCTCCACAAACCACATTTCCTCTGGGTTTGTTGCAAGGCTTTTTCGTTTCATCCCTGGGTCTCTTTTTTTCCCCTTCTCCTTCGAAGCCATCCATCCATTTCCTCTCACCTCACCCCGCGATTCGGCTGGAAAATGACCCTGCAGTACATCAAGAGTCAGAAAGGTAAGGACCAGCTGCTTTATAAAGGCTACCTGCATAAGAAAGAGCGGGTGAGCGGGGGCAAAATTTTATGGAAATGTGCGGAGTACCACAAGTTCCGTTGCACCGGAAGAGCTCACACATGCGATGACCAGGTTGTAAAGTACTCGCCACATCTTCACCCTCCCAACAAGACTGCACTAGAAGTCAAGAAAGTGGAGTATGGCATACAAGAACCGGCCTCTGGCCAAAAATCCATCGAGGAAAGGCTTACGCCAAACGGCGATGCATCGCCCGGGGCGGTGGTCGAGAAGAAGCCACGTATCCAGAACAATCCAAAGCAGACCATCCAGCGCTTGCGAGCATGTTTGAATGCAACACGCCACAGCACCGCTGGTTCACAGACACCCCCCTCCATTGCTGCAAAAGTTGCTGAGGGCCCACCTTTACCACGGCCAGTCACACTTCCTGGATTGCGTGAGCATGCCGATGGCGTGGAAGACGGACATTCCTTTCCCGGTAGCAAGACGACTGCGCCCCCTTCCACCTCGCTGTGCACCGGGCAGGAAGCCAGCCGGCAGCGGTTCCGCATGGGCCGCATCCTGCCCGGAGAAGCTCCCCAGGATCTCCTCTCCCGGCTGAGCGAGGCCGCTCAGCAGTGGCTGTGTCCCTGGCAGCACAGCAAAGACCAGATTGTAGACATGGTTATCCTGGAGCAGTTCCTGAGTGTGCTCCCGCCGGGCATGCAGGCGTGGCTGAGAGCCAGAGAGCCGAGCAGCAGCAAGGAGGCGGTTCAGCTAGCGGAGACCTATGTCAGGGAGCTGGAGCCGGCCAAGCCGATGCAGGTGCTCGGGGTGGATGGGAGGAGCTCTGCTTCGGATGTGGAGCTGGGGTGTGTCTGATTGCGGGAAGACCTGGGACCACCTGGCGTGGCTCCAGAGACCCTTCAGCAAGCGGCACAGATAGTCCTGCTGTCAGGACCAATGCGTCCTGCTCTGTCACCATCCTTTTCTTATAGCCAGACTATCCGCTGCAATGATTTTGCAAGGGCTTGTAGCAAATACAAAAAGATATGTTTGATCATGCAGTATGGAAAAGGTTTTGTCTGGGGCCTCTTGGACAGAGGCTGGTAACCCAGGCAGCATTCCCCAGAGAGGTCCGCCTGGTGCCCTCGTTATTTGTTTTTCAGCGCCAGGCTAAGACCTTTTTATTTAAACAATATTTTAACAATTCTTAATATCTATAGGTTTTAATTTTGCAACCAAGGTGATTCTGGGTTTTTAATTGTATTATTATGTATTATATTTATTTATTTTATGTGAGCTGTCTCAAGGCTATAAGTGATGGGACGGCATACAAAAATTCTAAATAAATAAATAATTCTACCCACCCCATGTCAGGGTTTGGGGAGGGCTGTGCTGGCAGGGTTCCTGTGAATTTTTCTCCTTTTAAAAGCTTTTTGAAACAGAGTGGTTTCTGTTATGCAGCTCTCATGATAGAAAGTTTTTTGGTTTTCCCCTTTGCAGTTCTAAAAGCCATGAGAGCCACATCAAAAAATTCATTTGCTTCTGTCCCCGTGCTGAAGCAGGTTCTGTATTAGTTCACAGATTGCTCAGATTCTGAGCAAACGGGAAGCACCTTGCTATCTGGCCTTCCATTCATCTAGTGTTTGGTTTGATTAGAAAGAAATATGGGGATTTTGGGGGAAGGCAGGGACCACGATGAAGAAGTTTCATAAAATGCAGTGATGTGGAACCTAAAAATGGACGCTCAAACCTGGTCTGGAACTGTGTTCAAACCATCCTTAAAGATTTGGCAAACCTACTAGCTTTTTGGCAAGTGATAGAAATCATGACAGAAAGCAAATAGTCCAGGTGTCCAGTGCACTGAGCGTATAGCTGCTTTATGCTGGCTCAGACCACTGGAGTTACCTTTCCCAGTGGCACGGGGTCTCCAGTGTCCTGGGCAAGGGCCTTTCCCAGGCCTGCTAGTTGTATTTGTTCCAGTCAAGATGCCCGAAGGCCTTGTGCCCACAAGGAATGTGTCCTGCTGCTTAGCCTCAGCTTTAAAACTTCCTGCTGTACCAGCTGGGCTTCCTCTGTCCTGGTCATGCCAGAAGGGCTTGCCCACAACTCAGACCAACTCCTCTTTCACTCTAAGCCAGTGGTTCCCATCTTTTGGTCACCAAATTATGTCGGACTGGAATCCCCATCACTGCCAACCATTTAACCAGGTGGGAGTTGTAAGCCCTGCAAGAACTAGAAAACAGTATCCTAAGAAGTAATCATCTCCCAATCCTACACCAACAGGCCTGATACAAAAATAATTTGCAGAGAGATGTCAATGAATCACAAAGGTCCATTCTTCAGATAGGATTTTGTTATAATTTCATCAGGTTTGGCTCATCCCTTTGCAGCAGGGGTCCTCAAGCTTTTTAAACAAGGGGCCAGTTCACTGTCCCTCAGACTGTTGGGGGGCTGGACTATAGTTTGAAAAAAATACGAACAAATTCCTATGCACACTGCATATTAACAATTAATTTAAATTAAAAAATTAAATCAAACTTTAAATTAAATTAATTAAATTAAAATTAATTAAAAATTTTAAAAAATAAAACATGTTTGTGGGCTGTAGTTTGAGGACCCATGCTTTACAGGGCTATAGTAACAGGAGAACTCAGGTGATTGAATGTTTTGGGCAGTTCTTAACAACCTAGAGCTGCAGCCACCATCTGGTTGTGACCTAAGAGTCAGGAGATGTTGCTCCAGCCCATGTCTGGGGAACTGCTAGCACATTTTAACAGAAAGCTGTTAACTGCCGCTCACTCAAGCCTCCAGGAAGGCATTTCAACCTTTCAGGAAGGGTGGGGGAGCGGCACAGAAGGTGGGAAGCCACCAAACAATCAGGGAAGGGGGGTAGGGCCATCTGGTGATTTGTTTTAGATCTGCCACCCTGAATCTAACTGATTCTATTGTAAGGCGCAGGACGAAAGTCTACTTAAATAAATAAATATTGTAAACACCCCACACCACATCTCCAGCTTTCCCGTTCTCCTTACTTTAAAAATAATGAAAAGTGATTAAAAGTTGAGGAACGTAAGAGCCTCACACACGGGATCAAAACAGAGGTCCATGTAAAGGGGCATCCTTCATCTAACAGTGCAGATCCAGACGCATCCAACAAGCAGGGCAGGACCAAAGGGAGTTTGCCCATGTGCATGTCTCGGCAAGTGGGGTTCGGAGGGTGGCCTGGAGTTTCCACTTCGCTGCAATGCCCAGTAGCCACTGGTAGACCTATCACTCTCAGATTTGTTAATTCCCTTCTTAAAAGCCATCTGAGCTAGTAACCACAATGTATATTGTGGCAAACGTATCAATGAGATGTGTGACTGTTTTTAAAGTATTGTTATCCCACCCATTGGCCAAAAGGGTCTTGGTGTAGCCTACATATAATCAATTAAGAAAAGATAGTTGCTACACACAGGCTTATCTAAAAAGACATGACACACAAGGAAAAAAGGAAGAGGAGGGAAGAGGAAAGCATTGGCTTTTCGTACTGTGATAAATAGCCGTTCCCCTCTCTTCTCTTCCTTGGTACAGCTTGCTGAAGTGAATGCTGGTGGTGACTGGTGATATAGTTCAGTAAAATAGTATTGTCTCGCTGGCAACAGAATTATTTTGGGAGATTTGTAATTATTTCTTGTTCTTTAAATTAGCAGTGTACTACAATTTATAGCACCACCCCTGTTTCTTTACACTTAAGGAACATCTAGCATTCATTGCCATTCATGCAGAAATCACGTGCAGTACAATATTGATTCCCAATTTACAGATTAGAAATGGGCTGGCAAAAAATGGACTTGCCCAGGACTGTGCAGAAGAAAGTCTACGGCTCCATAAATTCAAGCTCCAAGTCTGTGCAAAATATCCTGACCTTTGGTTGTTTCAGGACCCAGTGACCTTCGAAGACGTTTCTGTGCATTTCACCGAGGAGGAGTGGGCGCTGCTGGGCTGTGAGGACAAAGCCCTTTACTGGGCCGTCATGCATCAGAATTACGACAGTGTGGCCTGCCTAGGTAAGAAGTCCTGGCAAACCCTGCCTGCTGTGGGAGCCCCGGGCATAAAGGGGAAGACAATGCGCTGAATGACTTTGGCCCTTAGAGGGAATGTGTAGACAGACTCCGGTTCCCAGGATCCAGTTTGTTAATTAATTTATTTAAAGCTTTTATACCCCATCCCATTACTAGTGTCTCAGGACGGTTTACAATCTCGGGATGGTTTTTTCCTAAAACCCCAAGATCCACCAGCCAGAGCTGATACAAAGCAGTAGAGGGACAGGCTGACTGACAGACAGACAGACAGACAGGAAGAATAAAGGAACATGGTGCTACTGAACACATGCTGAGCCCAGGAATTTATGATCAGTACCAGAACCAAAGCTACCCTGCACCAAGCATCCACTGTCCGTAACCTGTTTTAGTATATAGGGGGTTGTCCGTATTGTTAGACCCCTGGGGACCAACCCCTTGCCAATCTGCTGCAGATCTTCCAGAGACCTGCCCACGGAGCCCTGCCTTCAGCGGCAGCTGCTGCCCATCTGGGGTTGGTGGGGCTGAGACTGGGCAGATGCTCAGTATGCTCTGAGATTGCCAGAGCTGTGCAGAAGGCGCCCATTGCGTTTGGAAGCAATGGCATGAATGTGCCTGGTTGTGGCAGGAAATTTCTGCTGCAGGCGTTTGGGGGAAAGGCAGGAGGCTACTGCTCCCATTTGCCAAGAGCGAGTCTGGAATAGTGGTTAAGAGCTGGGACTGGGACTCGGGCAATCTGGGCTCTAGTCCCCTCTCAGCCATGGAGCCAACTGGGTGACCTTGGGCCAGTCACAGCCTCTCAGCACCAGCTCTCAGACTCTCACAGGGCTCTTGCTGTGAGGAGAAGATAAGCCACCTTGAGTTCCTTGGAATGAAAAAAGTGGGATATAAATCCAATTAATAAATAAATTAAAGAGCCTTCTGTACCAACCTTCCTTCCACTAGTACAGTTGAAAATTTTTCATTTCTGCACTGGAAGGATGTGAGTTTAAATATCTGAATGGCTGTAAACCTCAATGGCTGGCATTAAGTTTAGCCTAAGCATAAATTTATATAAACTCCCCTATAATCTCCTTAGAAGAAGTTGCACACTTTAAAACAGGAAGGGTTAATCTCAGGCTTGTGAGCAAATCTGCCTAGCCCGAGATCCCAGTCTGGCCAAATGGTTTTCCCCAGATGGGCACACCCACCCCCTTTCCCCTGGCCCCCACCCCCTTTCCCCTGGCCCCCACCCCCTTTCCCCTGCCTTTGGTGGTTACCTGGCTTTTGTGCAGCTTTTCTTGATTCTGAAAAGCTGAAATACCAATAAGAAGTTACTGGCAGTAGAAGCTTTAAAGGAAACTGCTGGGATTGGTGGCATTTCGACCGCACCTCCTTTGCCATCAGTCCTACGCACCACTGGGGTGCAGCCACTGGGATGACATTGAATTGGGCTGGAAGAGGTTCGGCACCCCTGCATTAAAGCAATGCGTAAATGAACTAAAGGGTTGGTTTGACTGGTTTCTCCTTGCTTCTCCGCCTTCGTTATGCCTATCCTACTGCCTGTACCTTTGCTGCAGACAGAAAGGGCTTCAAAACGATCGTGGGAGACACGTCCAAGCAGAACAAAATATTATCCAGTGGGTGAGGCTTGTTCCTTCTGCTTCACCTACTGCACATTGACTAGTATTAATTTAAGATTTTTTATAAAGCATCTTAATTTTATAAAGCACTATGCAATTCGGAATACTTCATAATTCTACATTCTTCTTGATGCTACAGGAAAGTCTCTGACAAAGGCATTAAGGGTTTAGGGAGTGACGGTTGTTTTCTTCGCTTCAGCAGGTTATGGTGCAAAGCACAAAGATAAAGAGAAGGAAGCTTTCCAAGAAGCTGCCACAAATCTGGTGATGGATTTGTGGAGAAAATCTGGAAAGGAAGTTTCACAAGGTACTGAACAAGGCTTGATCACGGAGGACTGTCTGGAGAGGCAGTCTGAAAGCTACTCAGGAGAAGAAATGTTTACTCATGGCAGAAAGAGTTGGGAAGAAGTAGGCCCAGGGCCCGATCATATAGAAATGGAACTAGGACTGGAGAGTTGGTGCCCATGTACTGATTGCGAGAAACGGGCTGAATCTTCAGCACAGAAAATATCCAGTGAGGAAGATCGAGAGGTACTGTCTGGGGAGTTGCCTGAAATTTCCCAAAATCTCAACCAAAATCTAATCCAAGAGGACCAAAACCATGTGGAGAAGCAACAGGCAAAGCTCTCGGGAAAGGGAGATGATAATTTGAGGAACCTGATTACTCAAAATATTGGGCCTGACCGTATGATTCAATGCATAACTATGGACAGTACAGAACAAGATGAAACAACACTCCTCCGTTATAACATCCACAGTGGGGAAGATTCTGAATGTGTCGTGCTCTCTGGGGAGTCACTAGAAATGTCTGAGGCAAGAATTTCCCAGGGAGCCAAGCAAGAACTGACAAAAGATGCGCTTTGCTCAGATGCTCAACCACCCGCAGAGGACCAGCAGATGCACGTCTGTTGCAGGCATCAAGGTGTGTGCTCAACATGCACTGGCAGCCAGAACCCTGACTCTGGGGGAGACCTCTGTGTGCACCCTACGTGTACGAGACCAGTCACCCAGAATTCGGCTCCTGTCACCTGGCCAAGCTGCTCTTATACTGGGAGAATCACTGGTGGCCCCTCGGCTTTTACAAAACACCGAAGATTTGACAAAAAACACCAGCGTTTTAAGGAGAGAAACTGGTGCATCAGGACCGCTCTTGCACACAAGAGAATCCACCCAAGACGGGGGCCTCAGAAATATTTGCACCGGGAGGACCAGGGGGGCAACAGGCAAGGTAGTTGCAGGCTTCTTAAACCAGGAAAGGGCCTAAGGGAGCCCCCAAAACCAAGCTCCGTAAAGCTGAGCACCCCAGTGCATGGAACCTCTCATCCAACTCTGGAGAGAGCTGGCACGCCTTCAGGAGCAGGAGCTTCCTCTTCAGACCCCAAAGGCCTGGATCCCCAGCAGGGATCTTCCTCCCTTCCCCTTCTGGACAAACCGGCCACGGAGTCTGCCCTGGCCCAGTTAATTGCTGTCCTGCAGCAGGTGGCGGCAGATACGGCCGAAATTAAGTCTGCCGTCTCCAGCCTGCACAGCACGATAACCGGCATCCACGATGCCCTGGGCAGCCTCTCCGGGTCCACGGATGAGGCTGAGCACAGGATTTCCCACCTGGAGGACACATCCCGGAACACCAGGGCTCAGCTGGTGCAGCACTGCAACGATATCAAAGCCATCGAGGCCAGGCTGGTCGGGAAGCCTGTTCAGAGCAACGTCATAGCAGGCCTGTGGTCATTGCTGGGGGCCAAGAGAGGGGCGAGTCCTCTGTATCTGCCCCCCAAGTCATGAGTAAGGAGGATTCCAAAGATGATTGTTTTGGCTCAAAGAGGATTCAAAGGCCAATCATTCCATAACTACCCAGGCGAAATTGTCCAGCCACCCAGTCAAATAGCACTTCTTTTTGCCTTCTTGGAAAACCTTTGCAAGCCTTTGAACCCGTGCTTGTTTCAATAAATCCATCGCAATCACAGTGGTGGTTCTTCTGTCCAAGCTGTTGACCATCTGGGTGGGATCGTTGCTCTGGGATGTGGAATGGGGTGAGGGAGATCAGTAAGCTTCAATCACGCCATTGAAATGGTCCGAGCAAAATGAAGTCCTTGTGCGCCATTGAGTGCAGTGGGTCTTCAGAACGTGCTTGGTTTGCACATCAGAAGCCCATGGTGGGCATCAGTAGCAAAAGAACTGAAATTAAAACAGCCAATATCATATTGCCCTTTAGCAGGGGAAAGGGGATATTGTAGGGCTGGGGAAAGTGCAGAGAAGGGCAACTGAAATGATTAAGGTGATGGAGCAACCCTCTTGGAAGGAAAAGTTACAACAGCTGGGATTGTTTAAACGTGGTAAAGAAAGGAATGACAGAGGGGTACAAAATAATGAACAGGGGAGAAAGTAGATAGGGAGACAGCTTTTCTCATCATACTGTAGCTGAGGATCATCCCATGAAGCTGCCTACTGGGAGATTCAGGGCAGATCAAAGGAAAGACTTCTTTACACGGTGCTCTGGAGTTCGCTGCCATGGGACGTGGTGGTGGCCACCAACTGGATGGCTGTAAAAGGGGACCGGAGAGATCCCTGGAGGAGGAGGTTATCCATAGCTACTCACCTTGATGGCTTTATGTTGCCTCCAGTATTGGGGACAGGGCAGCTGTATAGACCAGTCGTTGGGGGACTTGGCGAGAAGTTCTGCTACACCCCCGCGCTGCTCGTGGGATCCTGTGGGAAGCTGGGCGGCCACTGTGTGAGCAGCATGCTGGCCTAGATGGGCACTTGTCCGGCCCAGCAGGGATCGTCTTACGTTCTTGTGAGTTAAGAAGAGCTTAACTTTGCATGGATTTTGCCTGAAGGCCGCATTTGGACCAGGGGCCCAAATTCACTTTCTCTAAAGTTCACACCTACATTTTTAGCTATGTTTTGCAGCACAGAAGAAATACCTGCAAAACTACATGGGACCTACAGTAGCTCTACACTCCTACACTTAACATAGGTCAGGTGTAGCTCCCTACCAGTGTGACTTCTATGGTACTTGAGTTGGAAAAGATTTCCAAAAGGCAAGACTTGAAAGGTTTGGAAGCTTGGGGAGAGGAAGACTCAGCTGACCATTAAAAGCACCAGAAACATTTTGAAATGTCCATGGATACACATATGAAAATAAGCACCAAACCTCTTTATCTCCCTTTCTATATCTCAGGAGCAGCTTTCTTCTTGTGCTCAGGAAGTTTGTAATAATTGCATTATCTCTATAGTACTTTTGCAATTCATGCTTCAGCCAAGTTTCTCTGTAAGAGAAGACACAAAGCAGGAAATACGCATAAAAATAAAGTTGCCGTCTTAGGCATACTTATTTAGGTTTAAGCTCCATTGTGTTCAGTTCGACTTACTTCCAACTAAACTTAAAAATCAGGTGGCACATCATTATTTTCCAGTTAAAATTATTTTACTTTTTTCATCTGCATGTATAACATGTTGAACTGATGTTACAACATTCAAGTCCAATTTCAATCTATATTAATCAAAAAGGATGTGTAACTATCTGTCCATCAGCACCATCACAACCTAGAAACCGAGACATATATGTATTATAACAGAAACTAGGGGTATGCACCTCAGGTTATGTTCTAACATGAATCCGCTATTGTTTATCCATTTAAATGTGATTGAAGTTGACAGTAACAACTTCAGCCACTGGGGGCAGATTTCCCTGGCAAGCATGTAGTTCAGCTTCTAGGCGGGGGGGGGGAGTAGGATGAGCTCTATGCCAGCCCCTACCCTTGAGGTTGGGCTGATCTCTCCAGCAGCAGCGCCCTGCCTGCCCAGAGTGGAGTGGCTGGGTCTCCACTGGATGTTCATATGCATCTGAGATATGCAGATACGCATCTGAGCCCAATTCCAGGGGCTGGTTTTAACCTATAAAACCCTACATCTCTTGAGACAACAGTGCCTGACAGACCTTTCCCGACTACAATGTACCCAGACACAATATCTGGGACTTTCCCCTAAATGCCACCTCCAAGGGAGAATTGGTTGGTGTCAACACGGAGAAGGGCCTTCTCTGTGGTAGCCCCTACATTACAAAATGATCTCTCCACCGATGCCCACCAATTTTTACTCTCTTTCTGGTGCCACATCTCTTTGCTAAGGCATTTACCAGCTGTAAAAACCACACAGGAGTGGAGACCTTGTCGGTGGTTTTTAGCAATTCCTAGCAGGATGTTTACGTTATTAAAATGTCATTTGAAAAGTTGGTGTGATTTTACGATGCTTTTATGGTTTTATCCTGTATGTTATTGTATTCATTAAGTGCAGTTCACTCCCCAGAGAGGAGGGGTCCAAATAAAATTAATGAAAATAAAGAGTGCAGCAAGGCAGGGTCGTGCTGGGGGTGGCAGGGGTTTCTCCCAACTGTGGAACTTTGCTTGAAGGCTTCACTGTGTCAAATGAAGGGATGTTTTGGGCTGTGTGAAGTCTTGTGTCCAGAATGAAATAAAAGAGTCTGTTGCAGAAAAAAAGAAAGAAGGAAATCTCATCCTCTCCCAATGCACCCATTTCAGCAGTTCCTGCCTTGAGGTAACACATACGGTACCTTGCAGATGTATTCACGTCCCATCCTGGACCTTTCCATATTTTGTTGTGTTATAACCTGGAATTAAACTGGATTTAATTGGCATTGTGATCGCTTGATAAACCTAAGATGCTTGGTACAGTGAAGGTGCACAGTGTGGTAGCAGACAAGACCAGCAAAATTAAGTGGCGCTTCGTTGGTTGCACAAATATTCCCAAACACACAAACACCGGTCACTACTTGGGAAAACTCCCTTGGCAGCAAGGACAGCTGTGAGCCATTCTGGGAAAACTTGGCACCTCTGAATCCTGCCATGTTTACCCGTTCTTCCTGGCGAAGCTGGTAAGCAGCAGCTTTCAGGTCCTGCCACAAACTCTCAACTGCACTGAGGGCTGGGACTTGAGCAGAGCCTTCTCAGGCCACTTGGTTCTCGTTTCGCAACCACTGCAGTGTAACCTGAGCCATGCATGCAGGGCCACCATCCTGCGGGAAGGGGGACCTCTGCCCTGGGCCCAGGTCCCTCGCAGACTGGAACAGGCTGTCTTTGCTTCCGCCCAGGCCACCCTCAGTCCTGACCAGCTCTCCAGGCCCTTCCAGGGAACAGCAGCTCCACAACAAGATGGTGCTGCTACCACACTTCACTGTGGGGCAGGTGGTCTCAGGACAACGAGCGCTGCTGGTTTTGTGGCACACACCAAGGCCAGGATGTTCCACATCGGTCTCCTCGGCACAGAGGACTTTCCCTGCTTGTTTGCTGTGTCTTTTACATGCCTTTTTGCAAGCTCCAAATGGGCTTTGTTTTGGCAATGGCTTTGTTCTCACCACTCTGTGGCACGTTGGGCAATAGTTGCCCCGTGGACAGTATCTCAGCTGTGAAACTCTCCAGCTCTTTTCGAGTTTCCACAGCCTCTTCGTGGCTTCTTAGAGGAAAGTCCTCCTTTCCCAGTCACTGACTTTCCCAGGCAGAATTGCAGCTGAGCCATATTTTTCGCTTGTCGCCAGTAATGGATTTAACGGTGCTCCAGGGAAGGGGGGATGGTCATCGTTTCAGATTATCCTGGGGTAGTTTTAATTGCTCCTTGGTCTTCATGTCGCTTTTTAGATTACCCTCCCACAAATTCAGGCCCCCTCCAGGGACAGGTGTATTTAATCTGAGATCCTGGGGAACTGTAAGTGCATACAGGTGGACTTCATTCAGCTGCTTGCAGTATGTGGCTCCTGAAGGCAAAAGGTTGCACCCAAGCTTATTTAGAATCGCAGGATCATGGAAGAGTCTATTGGAAGGGGCCAGAGGGCCATCAGGTCCAGCCCCCTGCTCAGTGCAGGACTCCCAGTTAAGCCATCCCTCTCAGGGGGCTGCCCAGCTGCTTCTTGAATGCCTCCAGGGTGGGAGAGCCCACCACCTCCCTTGCAAATTGGTTCCATTGTCATGCTGCTCTAACAGCCAAGATCGGCTTCCTGATGTTCAGTCAGAATGTGGCTTCCTGTAACTTGAACCTGTTATTCTGCCTCTTGTACTGTGGGGTGATCCAGAAGAGATCCTGGCCTTCCGCTTTGTGGCAGCCATTCAAGAACTTGCAGAGTATTATCATATCACCCCTCAGTCTTCTTTTCGCAAGACTAAACATGCCAAGCTCTTTCTGTCTTTCCTTATGAGGCTTTGTTTCCAGTCCCCTGATCATCTTGGTTGCCCTCCTCTGAACTCCTTCCAGTTTGGCTGTATCTTCATGGAAATGTGGTGCCCAGAACTGGACACAGCACTCCAGATGGGGCCTAATTAGTGCCAAACAGAGGAGAACGAGCACCCCATGTAATTTGGACCCTACACTTCCGTTAATGCTACCCTCCACAGCACCTGCTTTTTTGCAGGCAGCTCAGACATGTGACAGCAAAAGAGGTGAACACTTACATGCACCCAACAAGTGCCAGTTCATCTTCTGTTTAACTTTTGTGCCAGCATAACAATATTCGAACCTTCACAGTGCTGAGTATCTTGTGCATATCCCAGGACAACCATGCTGGTTAAATCTATTGCAATTCTAGGTTGTAAAACCCCAAAGTGTGCGAAGTCGGTGCATGTGGCATCCATAAGGTGAGCAGTGGTCCTGCTGAATCAGACCCGGTGCTCTGCTCCCAGTGTGGCCAGTCAGCTCCTTGCTTGAAGGGAATGACTCCCTTTCCAGCCTCTGTCCTCGACCACGGCTGTCAGAGCAGGACTGCAAATGCTCTCTTCATGGCAAAGGAGCATTCCGTTCTCTTCCCTGAATTTGCCTAAACGCCTTTTCTAAAGCCGGCTGAGCTGAAAGTCATCGCCATAACTTGCAGAAGAAATTGCTTTCTCTTGCTGCTCCCAAATTTAAGGGACTAGATGACCCTTTGCCTCCTGTGTGGATTTGCCTGTGTCCCACTAC